TCACTGCATTACAGAAAAACCTCCGGAGCTTCAGCCCACCTCACCATCATCCATTCCAAGAAGGTGCTGGACTTTTTTTAATACAAGTTGCCTGCCGTTAAAGACATTTTACATTATGTGCGAACGCTTAGGTCTTCTGGTATCACCAGTGTCGTGGGATGTAGTTTCTACCATTATTGTAGAGAAGAGCTTCGAGAAAATGGGGCATTCGGACACGCTCGACAGAACCAAGGACGATGCGCCTTGGGAGGGCGGTGACAGTGGCCACACCAATGATTCCCAATCAGAGCTCTCCATCAGTGATTACACAGCGCATGAATAGATCCGACTTGTTCAAGTACCTGCTAATTCTATTAAATTAACAAGCACACTTTGTTTGTGCTCCAATTAGGTTCATTAATGTATATATATCACAAATGCTTTCCAGCTTAAACACCTAGAGCAGCGTGTATGGATCGAGGAAGATTTTTCGCCCAGGGTACAGCAAATCAAAAAGAAACTCGGGGATTTTGCACGAGAAAATAAGAAACCTCAAGACAGGTATAAACTGCTATTCGATAAGCTTGTTCTAAACAAAACCATGTACTGCGTTGATTCATCGAGCAATCAGGTTCGTGCTCTACCAAAGTCTGATAGACATGATATAACGCACTGACTTAGACAACAAAGCTCGGGTAGACCTCTATCAATCTTAGTATCGAACTTCAGGAGTCTATTCCACAAACGGGACCATCTATGTGCTTTCCTCGAGATGTGTTCTGCTGATATCGTTCTAGGAACGGAAACATGGTTGTCTGGTAATGTGTCAGATAGTGAGCTGTCTATGTCTAAAAACTTCACAATATTTAGGAAAGATAGAACAGCCTCACAAGTGTGGTGGAGTGTTAATCGCTTTAAGGAAAAATATGGACGCGCGTGTCATTGTAACTGACACATGTCTCGAAATTGTGTGGGTTGCACTCTGCCCCTTCGCAGCTGTAACTTGTGCTATTGGAGTCTGCTACCGTGCGCCAGATTCAACAGACGACTTCCCAGAGTGCCTAAACGGGTCCCTTAATACAATACAGAACCGATTCCCACTGTCACCAATTGTACTGGCTGGTGATTTTAATTATCACAATATTGACTGGCAGGCATGCATGACTCTCGGTGGCACAAGAAAACGTGAGTGTCAGGATTTCCTTGAATGTACTTTCTTTGTTTAGCTTAAGTCAAATGGTTTGTGTACCCACAGGCGGCGAATCGATTTTAGATCTCGTGATGACTACTGATCCAAGCAACACGTGTGTTAATGTGTTAGAAGGCGTCAGCGATCACAACATCTTGCATTGTGAATTTGAAACATTCCGAGGAAAAACATGCGATAAAAAGAAACCCATCTTCGACTACGCACGAGCAAATATTGACGCGATATCAAGCCAACTCTCTTCTTTTTCTATTGATTTTTTAAACACTATTGTTGACCGTGATGCAAACAAAAACTGGACACTTATCCGGGACGAACTTATCTCACTAAGAGGAAAATACATCCTCAAAGTCACCATAGCCGCATCAACACAAAGCACATGGTTCACGACTCACATAAAACGCTGCATTAACAAAAAGAAACTGTACTCGCGAGCGAAATTGACAACATTTGAGGACGACTGGAAGCGTTATCGCGAACTCGCGCAGATACGTAAAATGGAAATCGAAACAGCAAAAGACAAATTGTTTAACTATGATACTTCAAACATGTTAAAAAGCAACAGTAAAAACTTTTTGAAGGTTGTGAGTCCAAATTGCGATTCCAAGGCCATAATATCACTAGCAAAAGACGGAAAACTCCTTTCTACGGCAGGACGCCACGACAGAATTCGGTAACTTCTTTAGCTGTGTGTTTACGGATGAAAGTCCAATGCCACCTAACCTACATGCTATTCCTTTAACCTCCTACATGCAAGATGTCCTTATCACTCCGCGAGGAATCGCAGCAGCCATTGATCGCCTTTCTGCAAATTCTACACCAGGTCCGGACGAGATATGCCCGAAAATGCTTAATATGGTAAAGCTAGAATTATGTCCTTTGTTAAGTGCCGTTTTCCAACAGTCCCTTGATACAGGCTGTGTACCCGATGACTGGAAGCTAGCCCGCGTAATACCTATATTCAAATCTGGCAACTGTTTTAGCCCAACTAACTACAGGCCAATCTCCCTAAGTAGTATTGGCAGCAAACTATTTGAAGACATCATTTCATGCGCGCTAAAATGAAGTACAAAAAAAAATGAATACGGTCATTCTATTAACATCGGCATTTCCAAAATGGCCGCTCCCCTACGTGCGTCGGCGTGGCGCGTCGGCCATTTCTGCCTATTTGTTTCCCATGTGCGGCACTTCGTACACGTGCTGAAGAGTTCGTCATCTTGTAGTGCATTAGCATCGACGGCATGGAAGGGCCGACTCCAAAAACTTGAGTGCACCACGATGCCGCTTTTAAAAGGAAAGTCATAGCGTGTGCAGAAACGGACGGAAATTGGGCCGCATCGCGGTCGTTCGGAGTTACTGAAACATGCGTGCGGGACTGGCGGAAACAAAAGCAGAAGATTGTCGACAGCAAAGCTTCACGCAAAGGCTTCAGTGGACCACAGCAGGCTCGGTTACCACAAATTGAAGAGCTGCTCGGCGAGTATGTGCTTGAGCAGCGAGCGGCCCGGGACGACAGAACTGCTCCATGTGCGGGCTATGCAGTTAGCCTGGGCTAATGCAGAGCCAGTTTAAAGCGAGCAGGTGCTGGCTAACTAACCTTACGAAGAGGAAAGGCTTTTCCCTCCGAAGGCGGACGGGCATATGCGAAAACTTTCCGGAGGAGTACGATGAAAAGCTTCACAGTTTTCAGAGGTTCGTCCTAAACTTGCGGCACAACAACGTCTACCTGTTTCGGCAAATCGAGAATGCCGATCAGACGCCTCTTTACTTCGACATGCCTGGCACCGCAACCCTCGAGAAGAAGAGGGCGGAGCAAGATCGCGTGCTGACATCGATCCGCGGTAAAAATACAGTGACGGCAATGCTGTGTTACATGTCAGATGGGCACAAGCTTCCCCCGTACCTCATATTTAAATGAAATGCACTCCCGAAAGGAGTCGTTTTTTCGAGTGATGTGATCGTGCGGGCCAACGAGAAAAATGGGTGCGCATTGCAATCGATGTCTTACTTTTTTTCTTCGTCGTGGAAACTGCGTGCACGTTACAATCGAGGGCGCGGTAGAATTGAGTGAATATGATACTTAGCGGAAAACAATTTCTTTTTTGACAACCAACATGGCTTCCTGTGTAATCGATATTGCGAGACACAATTATTTGAGTTAATTACAGACATTCATATCGCTTTGCATGACCGATGCCAGATCGATGTTGTTTTTGTAGATTTTAAAAAAGCATTCGATAAAGTCCCTCACGCCAGACTAATGAAAAAGCTTACCATTCTTAACTTAAACACCCACGTTTTTAATTGAATATCGGAATTCCTAACTAACCGGTACCAATCCGTTGTAGTCAACGACAAACACTCCCTTTAGCGCACGTCAAATTGGGAGTGCCTCAAGGATCTGTACTGGGGCCGATTCTGTTTCTAATTTTCATTATTGATATAGCTACTTCTATGACTTCCACGGTAAGGTTATTCGCCGACGACTGCGTGATATATAGAAAGGTGGTTAGCATTGAAGATGCTTATAATTTGCAGAACGATCTTAACATATTAGGTAAGTGGTGCCAAGACTGGCAGATGGAAGTCAACATGAGCAAAACAAAAGTCCTTTCATTTACTACAAAAGAGACACCAATAACTAATCACTACACATTGAATGAGAAACAAGTTGAAAATGTTCTCAATTTTAAGTATTTGGAAGTTCACTTATGGAGTGATCTATCATGGAACTTACTCATTGACACAGTCACTAGCAACGCTTATAAGACACTGCGATTCATCAGACATAACTTACATTTCACCAATTCTGATACTAAACTTTTAGCTTACAATACACTAGTCTGCTCTAAGCTTGACTATGCTTCCCAAATATGGAACCCTCACCAGGTTTACCTCATAAATAAAATAGAGTCTTTTCAAAACAAAAGTGCCCGGTTCATAACAAAGATATACTCTCAAACTTCTAGCACAAATGAAATTAAAAATTCTTTAAACTTGCCATCTCTACAGTCACGCAGACTGTTTTCCCTTCTGTCTCTTTTTCACAATCTCTGCCATAACCATTTGCAACTATCTGCACTTATCAAACCTGCACGTAGAATATTTGCTCGTCTGGACCACAAATTCAAATTAGAACCTTTATTTGCCCGAACAAACCTTTTTACATTCACCATTACTTCTTGCTGTTAATCATCGGAATCAACTTCCCAATGATATTGTGTGTATAAAAAACCACGAAGAATTCACTCACAAATTAAATCTTCATCTTGGTGTTTGAATGACCTAATACAACCGACCCAGATGTACATGTGCTTATATAACGGTTTTTAGCACGTTGTATAACTCGAATATTTGGCTATGATCAGCATTGTTTAGCATAAAAATGTTCAACCTCGCTTGTTCTTTGGTTACGCCTTCCTTTTTAGTGTAGTTTTGTCTTCATAATTGATTTTCTGCGATTTTGTACATTATTTATGCGTTGTTATTTACTTTTTCATACATTTTATTACTTTATTGTTCGTGTTAGTTTCTATATATGTATAATATTACCCCTTTATATAATGCCCTCGGACTTTTAGGGTACATGAATAAATAAATAAATAAATAAATATGCCCGTGCCATGACTATTGCACATCATTTTGTATGCGTTCACAAAATCTCTGCAAACTTGCCCACTCCCTGCTCAAAGCCCCAAGATCACGAAAAAAGGGGCACAAATTATAGGAGTCAGTAGAGTACTTCAACCTGCACGAAAAACATTAGTCTACGTTGGATGGGATAGGTTCAGAAGAAAACAATCAAGCTGCTCACCAAGTCACTGCTGCTGTCACAAACCACAGGAACCATGCGTATGACTTTCATGCCATACAGCTTGTTATGGCCGATGATGTAGTTGTACAGTTGGTTGGGTGCTACGTTCACACTTGGGATCACCACAGAGCCTGTACAGAAGACGGCCTGGCTTTAGGCGTCGGAAAAGTTCGAATAACGCAAGGTTTAATTACTTGGCAGGGGTCCGAAATTCAAAAACGGGAGAGGTGCAGGGGCCAACGTTCCGACAAGCAGACACGTGGAAGCGTAAGATCTGCTTGGCCAAACAGTGGCTCAAATACCCACTCTTTGTTTTAAAGTTTCTCATCTCAAGCTTCCATCTTCCCCTTCTTGGCATTCTTTTGGCAGGACTTTGTCATTGCAAAAAGCGGGTGCACCGACACAGACACCAAAGAAGGAGGATAACGGAAACGTTACTACTCACAAACGGCAGCACTAATTAACACGCACAACATTGGATTGAAATTGAGCAGCAAATTCACAGTTTTCCGTAGACGGACCTTACCTGCATAAATGAGGTTGCGCGCGTAGTTGGGAGACTTCTGGTAGTACTTGACAAAGTCGTCCAAGAAGCTGGTCAGGTGGTAGCCGTGTTTGAACAGCAGCTGCTGGCCCGAAATGTACGAGTGGATCGTGCGCAGGTGGTAGTCGTAGGTGAACGAGTGCATGTGCATGTTCACTCGGATCTTGTCCATGTCCTCGATGAACTCGGATGTCACCTGGACCAATGCGCATAAAACTGATTTCCAAAAAGGGCAGCCTCACTGGCTTTGCGGATTGCAAACATAAAAGGACAAGGCACACACATCATGGTGCTGATCCTCTGAGCAAAAATACCAGACTACATCAGGCCAGCAAAACCGCGAAAACTGCAAATCAATGCATATGCTTTCATCAAGCAAAAGTATATTTTCCAGAGTCGTGAAACAATGAAACCGCCTCTTTTGTACAAATGTGTCACTACTGTCATGTGCCCATGAAACTTTGTGCACAGCATTTAGAGTGCAAACTGATATAAAATCATTCTAACAGCTGTACTATAGTTTGTACAGAACCCACCCATTCTGTGTCATTGCCTGAGGGCAAGGGTGCGTACCAGAAAAATGTTTTCGGAAATGGGGTTTCAATGAACATTTATGCATGTTCGTGCATACATAAGACTAAGAAAAACTAAAAAACATCTCGGAGGGGACATTTAGAGCCCCTCTTGCTGGCGACGCCAGTGTCCCAGGAGCCTGGCCCCTAAACCACCTCCGATAATACAGTCAAACCTCAATATATCGAACACGGATATATCGAATTATTGCCTATATCGAACGGTTCCTATATCACGCCGAAAATCACATATATTATCGATTTTTTATTTCGGACAAAGTTTGACATATAATGGATATATCGAACTCAGCCACCCCAAACCGCCCGCGCTCCATTGACAGGAGGCGAGCCTTCCCGCAACTCTCGAAAGTAGCGGTAGAGCTGCGGGCGTTTACGAATGCTGCACACATCGATGGCGCCGAGAGCGCCACTTTAACGTAGAAGCGTACGCGCGCCGCAGCCTTGCGGTAGAGGTTCTTGAATGAGGAAAGTGAAGAGAAAAGTGTGGAGCTGTTATTTTCGTTCAATACGAAGGCACCGACACGGCTTCGCGCGGGGAAAGGGGGAGTGGGAGGTAAAGATTGAGGAGGAAAGTATAGGAGGGAAAGGACGCAGACGACTGTCGCGAACGCGGCCCACGCTGCCGCCGGGAAAGGAAAAGCAGTCAGGCGAGCCGGCATGGGTGTGCCATGTGCGCGCTTTACACCCGGACTCACGCCGCAGCCTTGCAGCTTGCAGTCGTTGCAGTCTCTAAGGTGTCAACGGCACACTGCACACTTGTTGCAAGCTCTTCCGCCGTAGCATCGGTCGTTGTGCTCGCAGTGTTTGCGCGTTCGAAGTTAGGCCTGTCGCGCGCCACAGCCTAACTCCGAATGACGGAGCTCACGGATGTGGAGATTGTCACCGAAGCTACTGCTGAGCAGCCAAATGATGACTCTGCCGGGGTGGATCCCGCAAGCGCTGATGGTGCCCCGCTCCCGACATCAGCTGAGGTCGTAGCTGCCTTGGCCCTTGTGTGCCGCCACTGCGGCGCGATTGAAGGCACCGGACCTATCACTTATGGATTGCCCTGAACTATATTGAGGACACAGTCGTCAAACACGCCATGGCCAACAAAAAGCAGGCTACTCTTTTTTCAATATTTTAAACCAACACAATAAATACTATGTTTGAATCTTCAAGTGAGTATTTACTGCACCACGCTTGAACAGTTCGTTGGTTGTTTTCAGCAAGCTGTTGACGCATTTTTTTCGTGATTTTTTAATATCGAATTCTGGATATATGGAACTATTTCGCGATCACCGCGCCGTTCGATATATCGAGGTTCGACTGTATTTTGGCACCCCAACTAAACACGTGCATCTAGTTCAGAATGCCGTTTCGATTAACAATTTCAAAAGCAATTGAGCAACGAGCTGTGAGCGCTCCACAAATTCTGGCAACCCTCAAGGTTTGCCATAACGTCAAAATTCCATAAAAAGAACCTGTTTTGTCTGTATGTAGGTTGTCTGTATGTAGGTTTGTCTGCATGTTGTCTGTATACCTTTTCCTTCTTACACAAAAGGCAAAGTGGAGCACTCGACCAGAAGGAGACACAAGTTGACGAGCAGAGCAACGAGAAGGAAAGAGCTAGCGAGGCCCTCTTATGAATTATAAGCGTTCACAACTTTACTATTGCAGCACTGTTTTGAAAATTTCTCATGAATACTTGTTCAATGTTGACTCGTGCACAACTGTAACATCTCAGCTAAATTTCGACTTCTGAAGGGCTTTAGGGGCCTACCTTTAAAGAGCACTAAACAGAAGTGTTTGCACCTGTGACATGTAGAGCTGGGTGCCGGATGGCAGGAGGCGTTGCCGTTCCACGAGAAACAGGTTGCACGCAACGTACGGGTCGCAGAAGCCCACCTCGAAGAAGTACAGGCCACCCAGGTGCCACTGGAAGAGGCAGTGACGCGGCAACTCTCCGACAGCGAGCGTTCCCACGCTCTGGCGCTTGTTGCTGGACTCCGACTCGCGCCTCCGCACTGACATCGCACTGCAGGTGGAAAGGACCACAGAAAGGCACTGTCACACCGAGCACATAATTTTATGCACTCGTCCTTCACAGCTGCAGTAAGATCCTGCAACTCGAAAACTGAAGATAAACAAAGTTTGTTATACAGCAAGAACTCAATTGAGATTTCACAGGTGAGAAAGGAATGTCCAAATTAACCAAATTCTACATGATTAAATAACACAATAAAACATAAACAGTAAAACAATAAACAACGTATATGTTACCATGCTGCAAGGCTACCATGTCTTAAGGGGGGACGCGGGTCTTAGAAAAGTAAAAAATGGCCAAAAAATCGATTTTGAGAAAAACAGCATTTTTCGAATCTTTGAACCTATAAGCACCTCTCCTCAAATTATTAACGCTAAATTCGATAAAAAAATAGGTTAAAATCTATTTTCAAACCAGTCACGGGAGTCGCAAAACAACCCGCAAAACAGAAAATTTGTTCGAACTTCCCGCGCGCGCCGCCAGCGAAGCAGCCGGCGGATCGGCGCCATCTTGGGCTTGTTTTGAAGCTAGTTCCTTTGTGCGCGTTTTGCGGGCTCTCAAAATGGCGTAGCTCCAACACAACGACTGCCCTCCCCTGTTTTGCGAAGCCGTCTGCCGGACCGCTGATTGGCGCCAGCCAATGGTAAGCGCGAGCCCCCCCCCGTCTCGCGCTTACCATTGGCTGGCGCGGCGGCGCGGCCACGGTTGCTCGCTCTTTTTTTTTGTTTGTTTGGTTTTGCTCCGTCGGCGCCTGCTCTCGTGCATGTTATCTCGTCTGCTACCCGCTCGTGTACCGACGTCGCCGACGTATACGTCTTTCTGCATTTCGCCGGCATGGCTTGGGAAGCTCGCCTGAAGAAGAACACTCGTCAAGCTTTCGGCAGGAAACGAAAGCGAGCGTGGAATGCGCGGCAGAAGGGAGCGACTTGCGCGCCGCCGAGAACGCCGGAGATGGCCGAGGCAGCGCATTCTGACGACAACGGGCTGTCGGAAATGCCTGTTATTGCGGAGGCAGCACATTCAGACGACGACTCGCTGGCGCAAGTGCCTGTTATTGCCAGAATCCTAGTGAGAGCTTACACGCTACAATTTGGCAACAAGTCCCCAAGACCACCCATGCCTCACTGCGCAGCGTAGAAAGAGCAGTGGCTGAAGCCATCAGCCGCTTTAATCAGGGGGCCACGAAGAGCAATGAAGCAATTGCTGAGAAGCTAGGCTACAGTGCAGGAAATCTCTTCATGCGTCGTAGCCTTGAAAAGGCTAAAACCAGGCTTCACAAATTGCGGAGGGAGCACCTGCAGAGCAGTTCAACAATGGCAACACTTGCAAAGCGACATAAGCCTGCAAGAGACACTGCATACAGCCCTGGCATGCTGTAGAATTGTAAGGATGTCTAAGGATGTCTGGGACAAAAATGTGTGTTTTACTTGAAATAGTGTTTTATGTATAAAAGGGCGATGTTTTTATATATAACATGTGTCTTCCTTTGGTTTTCAGTGCACTAGAACAGCCACAAAGTTGTAGACTGGGCTCCTTATACTGATTCAACGGCCAGTACACAGTTTTTAAATGAGCTGTGGCAAATATTTTGGGAAGGTGCACTGACACATTTGGTACAGCCATACTCACATAATGTAGAGCTATACAACGGTGCCATTTTCATTGCTCTAGCTTCACTTTAGCAAAAGTTACAGTTATTAGAAACTTTAAATGCGTTTTTCTCAGTTCGATGTTTTTGTGCACCACACTAAACCTTAGGGGTTTTTCTTATATGTTACTGTTGATTGAGAATGACAAACTTGGTATCATTTTATTTGTAATAACATTACCTATGGGGTGATGCTATTTTGATTACTCTAGAAGCATACTGTTAATCACAAGTATGGATAGTAATGAGCGAAAATTGAACAGAATATCCATTGTAAGTGCTGGTCTGTTTTTTTTTTATCTATATAATGCCTAAAAATTAATAAAAATAGCATCACCCCATACAGAAAGCCCTCAGCATTGGGGCTATGCATTTATTTTTTGTATCTGGCTTGATTAAGTTGCCAAAAAGCCCCCAATGAAGTGCATAATTAATTAAATTACAGATGTTAATATCTTTTTATCCACTGAAGCTATTTCAGAAACAATCACATATTTGAAATCAGCATGAAAACCTGTCCAAGATGGTGAGGTTTGGTCAAGAGTGAGCCAAAAACAGAAAAAAAATTTTAAAGACCCATGTCCCCCCTTAACTACCCCAACACGTGCTCTGCACACAATATATTTTTTCTATTTTGATGGTGAGTGAAAGAAATTTTTCACAAGCCGGTGAATCCTTGGTCATCAAAAACGCTATTTTGGATAGCAACTATGCCTCTTTGAACGCCCACATCCAAAGAGTTGTCACGCGCGGTAGTAAATGCGAATAGGCATGAAGCATTTTGGCTTTCCTGCTGTTACCACATAGTTTGCAATGGTGGCGACTGCAATGTGAACTGCTCTGCCTTGTTTCGATTGAATGTGAAAGTTGTTTTAACTTTTTTGCACTGCACACTTGTGGCACTTAATTCTTGGTGCACTCCCAGGGTCATTCGAATCGACCAGGTTGCTGCCACAAATGACAAGTTAAGAGTTTTACGCTACTCAACAACGTAAACCCTTTAAAGAGACACTGATGTAACAAACACATGGGTGTAAGAGACACTATTGTGCCTACATTAAAATAAAGTGCAACTCCAATTATACGACTTTTAGGGGACCACACAAAACTGTCGTATAGTCAGAAAACTAAGATTATAGGTAGTGACGCTCAGCCTTGCCCGGAAAAACAGGTTCAGATTGTCCACAGCATGACCTTGTGTCTCTGCATTGAAGGTACATTAAGTTATACTTGCCTGTGGCAGCTAATGGCAGCATTACTTAGCTGAAGGAGCTGCAAACAAACTTTTATTTTTAACTTAAAAAAATCAAATCCAATGTGCATTTTTCTACCGATACTTAAAGTTGTAAGATTGGCTGCGCGTAAACACGAAACCGAAACCACGCTGCTAAAAGATTCCTATGAGAATAGTCAGACATAGTGTCATCACTATTACGTAAAGGCGACGAACCACGAATTTACGTCGAACACGTAGAGTGCCTTCATGTGTGACTGAACTGTGTGCGTTGTAATTTCTTGCCTCGAGAAGTGCAACTGTCCCACTGTTATAAACATTGACATTAAGTGAAAGTAATTTTGTGTCGTGCCCCTTTTGAGTGTGCAAGCCAGTGACTGCAAGTGCGACAAAGGAAAGATATCAGTTGTATGCATACCAGGAAAAGTTTCCACATACCGTTTTTCGGCCGGCTAAAGCTACTCTGTGTGGATAAACCTTGAATAGATAATGGCCCCTGGACACATACGCGTGTAATCGAGGCCTGTTTAGAAGCACATGATCTTCCAGGAGAATAAATTTTCAATTCTAAGAAGACATCCTGTCTCACTCTACTTTTCCAATCGTCAACCTGGGAGTATGCAAGTTCATATTTTGCAATGGTGAGTATTTGGCTGACGTTTTATTCGAGTGAAGGTGTTTTTGTTTTTTTTTTCATTCAGACGGGACCTGAAAGTCGTCGTAAGAAGCGAGGTTGGCAGTAAAACTGCGTTGTATAACCAAGGTGTTTAATACATTACTTCTACAGGGATTTTGCTAAGACCAAACCGATTCGTCGTAAAACGCGGGTTGTCGCGAAATCGGGGGACGTATAATCAAAGTTCCACTACAGTCGTTAATAAGCAAACACGTACTTGGCACCCTGGCTATAAGTGACACTTCTTATAAAAGACGAGAATTGTTCCCCAGTGCATGTCTCTTTCACAGAAGCTGCCTACTAGCACACACCTGGACTTGCGCGATGCGGTGTGCTTGGTCTGGATAGCCATGAATCCCAGGTTTTGTAGGTACTGGATGTACTCCTGGATGTAGTGGCTGCACACGGTCATGTGCCACGTCTCCTCGTTGGTGGAGCGCCGGTGCTGCTTGGGCGACAACTGCTGCCCGCCGCCGGCCCCTCCGCTGCCACCCGAGGTGACCGAGGGCACTCCACTTGACCGGCGCATCCTTCGCGAGGCTGCAACGTTAGACACATCTCCGCCGACACTCTTCTGGCTGCCGCCGGAACTGTGCCGTGTGCGCTGCAGCATTTAAGTGTGCGAAGAGTGTAAGCGTGAATTTTCACGTTCAACAAAGTGTATTGGAAAAGCACTGATGTGTTTTTTCTGCGATCATTCTGGTGTATTTGAGAATGATGTAGTACACCGTGCAGAGCCGAGTTAAAGATGCCCTGCAATACATTTCGAGCATGGTTAGAAAACGCTACCGGTCAGTAGTCCATGCTCTCGAGAAATACAGTAGACTTTCAATAAACCGAAACCTGTTAAACAAAACTGCTGCCTAAATGAAACAGCTGCTTCTAATATGACTGGTTTCGTCCCTGCATACTGCACTCTCGTACATCTCTCAGCAAATGAAACTCCCGTTAAATGTAACAAGTTCTCCCAGTCCCTTCAGGTTCCGTTTATTGAGTTATTGAGAGTCTACTGTATTGTAGCGCAGCACGCGCCTTGGAATTCCCAATAAATTCTCAAAGCCAAATAAACATATCCTTCTCTTCTCTCGACAAATAACGATACAAACTCAAAAATCACTCGTCTTAGGCATTGTATCAGCCATGGTTTGGTAGGAGCATGGCATGATTAGTTATTAATCGGGACACAACGGGAGACCACGGCTTGTTCACGCGTGTGCACATAATCGTACTGAAAAGCCGCATATTTGAAGAGGAAAAAAAGAGTAAAAGTGCCTAAGGTCACGATGCGCACAAGACGTATTTTCTTTACTCGTGCCATCCCTCACTGCTTAGCTTCCAGCCCTTTCGTTGAGATAAGAGATAAGAAAATGCAATTACAGCATGCAACAAATCTTTGCAACTCTGCTTGTGCTTAACAGATTAAAAAAATTTTTGCTGCAATGAATTTGTGAAGGCAATTAGCTCCTTAAGTGAATCCATTGCATGTCTACTTAAAAAAGTGTTTCAGGGCGCCTTTAAGGCGAAAGCCTTGGATACTTCATTGAACGTGAAAACTGATCCATGTCCAGCATGAATGGCATCAATATGAGGGACACGAAAAAGGGTCACGTATTGACGTCACAATGACATTACAGATTGCAAAGTTTCCTGGCATTAGCATGACACCTCACGGTGATGTCATCATGCCATCATTTTTAGGTGAAAAGTGGACCGGTCCCGAAGGTAGCGGGAGGCCAGGTAAGGCACAAAAAAAAGCTTACAATGCCTCCATCTTGAAGGCATTGTAAAACCCCGGTGGTTCCACAATGCTATTGGAGGGGGGCGCATGAGATTCAAAACATAAACATAACACAAAAAGATAAAGAAGACTTTTAGGTAGATGCTTAAAAAATGCTGCGAGTTTTTTGATACACAGCTCTTGATATTATCAATCAAACGAGTCATTTTAAGGATAAAACCTGCAGGAAATGAAGGCGTTAAATGACACACCACATCCTGTTCATTTAGTTTGCCGAAATGGCACTCGTGACGAAAGAGGAGCTCTAGAGCATCTTTCACCAACGTCCCCATCTATATTTTTGTTACTTAGAGCCAAGCTCCTAGAACACATAACCGGGAGCTATTTTTGTCGCTCATGCGAGGAGTCTTGTAAATGCAGAGTACCACGTTTTTCTTTTCTGATTGATCCCTATTTTGACACAAAAGATTTGCCCACTGTAGATTTGTAGACAAAAGATTTGCCATTGTAGCAGAATGCTCTCCATGTGCCATGTGAAATAATGTTATGCAATTTGCTCAATTCATCCATACACGAAAAACACAATCCATGTTTTCTCCACATCAATGTTATTAAACTATAGCATCTAAACCTACTCAACTGTATGCAAGCTTTATCCAAATTTGTGGCACTTAAGTCCAGCCTGTGTATTACAATTGAATAAGTGGACACACAATCGGTGGTCAAATAAATCAATAGAATAAATGGCAAAGGTTGAAGAACACGGCCAAGGGCGGCAGTGAGTTAGTAAGGTATAGAAGTTTGCCGGAATGAAATAAAATGAGCTCGTCTAAGATTGGGCAGGTAGGGTATCCTTCGGAGAGGCCTTCATTTTGCAGTGGACATGAAATAGTCTGAGGAAGATGACTGCATCAAATTTGAGCACTTTTGCTAGAACAGCCACTTATGAGAGATGGACGAATAGTAAAATAGACAAATAGCATAGCAGGCCCCTGGCTGCAATAAAAATACCTTTTCAAAGAGGTTACACGAAGAAAATACATGAAGAAAATATACGTCAATTCGTCGATTTCGAATACTTAGCAATTTCTTATTATTAAAATTTATATCAAAGCGATTACGAATACTGTAATAGTTCAAGTATCCTCCTTAGCCTACACCTTACTTATGTAACACTCTGTAAGGTACTGCCCACCAGACTCACCTGGCCTGTGGGTGGTTGTTGGTCATGCGAGGCGGGGCAGTCACATGGCATGCCGGATGCAATGGCAGCCTCGAGGGTGTGGTCTCGCACCTGGGCAACCTTGAGCCGCCACGTAGGACTGAACAGCAGCGGTGTGAGGCAGTAGTGGACCAGGCGTGCCTCTTTCTTCACCTGAGCCAGCATCTTCTCCTGCAGGAGCACAAAAGACGAGCTGTGAGAGCGCCAATACCAGGCCCACAATTGTTTAACTAACGATATGCAAAGGGGTTCGCACTATGCACGGCTGATGCAGACGCCTAGTGCATCTTATCAGAAATCAGAAAATCAGAAATGCTTTTATTTTCCAACGAAATTGTAGGGGTCCTTCAGGCGAAAAGCTGCACAGTACAGCTTGAATGTGCCTGAAGGCCCTCACATGGCAGCAGTAACACTAAAACCAGCATACATACAGATGTTTAGCATATATCCAAATATAATACACCATTTTAATTGAAACTAAAAATTTGCAACATGTTGAATAACACTAGTGATTTATTACAAACACATGGTACTTAAAGATAACATAGAAATGTAATACATATGGGAGAGGTGCCCAGCCGCGGTGGTCTAGTGGCTAAGGTACTTGGCTGCTGACCCGCAGGTCGCGGAATCGAATTCCGGCTGCGGCGGCTGCATTTCCGATGGAGGCGGAAATGTTGTAGGCCCGTGTGCTCAGATTTGGGTTGCACGGTGAAGAACCCCAGGTGGTCGAAATTTCCGCAGCCCTCCACTACGGCGTCTCTCATAATCATATGGTGATATTGGGACGTTAAACCCCACATATCATTATATATGTGAGAAGAAATGTGACAATACATTGTGATACATCAGAAACAATAGTGTTTACAACACTAAGAAAAGCACTGCTATAAATATGACTATGATGCACAATACGATGATACTTTGTATATTGAAACACTGTGTGCAAAGGAGATAATTAAACAGAAAATGTGAAAATGTAATAACGATGTCTTCTATATGTTAATTCCGATTTACGAAAGTATTCTCTAATTTGTTTGCGAGTCAAAGTATTTGGATTAAATCTTTCCCCTTCCACTCTATTTAACAATGAAGATAGGTTATATCGTAGTGACTGCATAAGATAATTTGTGCGTCTGAATGGTACTAACCACTTGTCTTGGCTACGAGTGCGCGAGTCACTTTTTTTGTATTCGAGTCGTGACGTATATTTTAAGAAGGATTTGATAGCTGCACATGGTCATACTGTGCGCACGTTAATGTCCCCTTCCTGTAGCGGAAGTTATCGCAGCTACAACGAGTCTGGGCGAATAAGGCAGCAGGCTAGGTGAACAAACGAACCTTACTGCTGTGCTATCAACAGCACGTAAATTACACTTACACTTATAGGAATGGTACGCTCTACGTAGAAAGGGACGGTAAGGCTTACCGTATTTACTCGATTCTACCGCGCCCTCGATTGTAACGCGCACCCGATTTCCACCGCGAAAAAAAAAAAAAAAAAAAACGTAAGACATCGATTGCAACGCGCACCCATTTTTTTTTTTTGCTGGCCCGCACGATCACACCACTCGAAAAAACGATTCCTTTCGGGATTGTCTTCCATTTAAATATGAGGTACGGGCGAAGCTTGTGCCCATCTGACGTGTAATAACAGAGCATTGCCGTCACTGTAGTTTTACCGTGGACCGATGTCAGCACGCGAACTTGCTTCGCCCCCTTCTTCTCGACAGTTGTGGTGCCAGGCATGTCGAAGTAAAGAGGCGTCTGATCGGCATTCCAGATTTGCCCAAGCAGGTAGCCGTTGTTGCGCCGCAAGTTTAGGACGAACCTCTGAAAACTGTAAAGCTTTTCATCGTACTTCTCCGCAAAAGTTTTCGCATATGCATGTTCCCCTTCAGAGGGAAGAGCCTTTCCTCTTCATATAGTTAATTAGCCAGCACCTGCTCGCTTTAAACAGGCTCCGCATTAGACTTTTTTCTAAGACTAATTGCATAGCCCGCACTTGGAGCAGTTCTGTCGTCATGGGCCGCTGTGCCGCTCGCTCCTCAAGCACATACTAGCGGAGCAGCTCTTCAATTTGCGGAAACCGACCCTGCTGTGGTTCACTGAAGCCTTTGCGTGAAGCTTTGCTGTCAACAATCTTCTGCTTTTGTTTCCGCCGGTCCCGCACGCACGTTTCGAGAAGGACCGCGATGCGGCCCGATTTCCGTCCGTTTCTGCACACGCGATGACTTTTCTTTTAAAAGCGGCATCGTGGTGCACTCGAGCTTTTGGAGTCGGCCCTTCCACGTCGTCGATGCTAATGCACTACTAGATGACGAACTCCTCAGCACACGTACGAAGTGCCGCACATGGTAAACACATAGGCAGAAATAGCCGACGCACCATGCCGACGCACGTAGGGGGCGGCCATTTTGGATTTGCGATGGCAATAGATTGACCGTACTTTTTTTGTTCGTACTCGATTCTAACGCACATGCGATTTAAGAACTCGCTTAACCGGAAAAAAGGTGCGCGTTAGATTCGAGTAATTACGGTACTTCTTTCATCAACTGGCAGCTTGTGAGTCCTGAGGGTGATGACGGCAACCGCTGTCACAAGAGAGGTTATTTCTCTCTCCTTAGCTCTTTCATCACTTCTTGTCTCCCTCCTCGAGCAAGCGTTGTTTCACTTGCAGAGGGGTGAGTATCTTTTCTCGTGAGCAGAGAAATGAGGGGTAGCGCAGAATAACAGCGGGACTGAAGAGGTTCTTAGAAAAGGGGCTACGGTACTCCCTCTCCGTGCGGCCGGTTCGTCCCTGCTGCCAGTTCGCGATCCTGCCAATATTATGGAAAAGCAATGGGCATGCAGTCTCTCCTGCAGATCACCTCACTATTGCACAGAACATGTTTAACTACTATGCTTTTGCTTTGTTTAAGGTTGCTAACATGAAGGCCGACAACCTAAAATGGAACTTTGTGCTCAGTGCATTCCATGCTACATCACAAACAATAGAACACTACTGCTACTATGCAACAGATGCTTGTTAAACAGCACCTGACGGAACCAGGAAAATGCGTTACACTTGACAGAAGTTTCATATCCTGAGAGATAAACAGGGGTGCAGAATTCATGGACGAAGTCATTCATATTAGAGTCAGTTTCATTTAGGCTGCAGTTCTGTCTAAGATATTTACGTTCACTGACAGTCTACTTTAATGCCACATAAACAAACGCACGGTTAAAAAACAAACTTAATCCTCACAAAAAAATTTTCACGACCCGAATGGCGTACAGGCGTATCTTCAGTTTAAAAAATACGTGTCTACACATATAGGCTCTTGACTGGCAGCAACCTTGCAAAGTGCCAGTAAGACATGACAGGCAATTTTTCAGTTCTATATATAGATGGCACCAGACTGCAGCAACCATTTCCAACAACACACGGAGCAGTTGACGTTGCCACGAATCACGCCTGTACATCACAGTCGACATGAAATATGTAAAAAACCAGAGGCTAATATGCATGGACTTAAATGAATTAGATGGCTCGTGCATTTCAATGTGTAAGAGCTGCAAGAATGTAACACATTAAGAACATATAAAGTAGGTTTCACCATACTTCTTATTTAAAAAAAAAAAAAAAGGCTTACCATGACAAGAAGGTTGGCACTGGTGCCCTTGTCGTCATAGATGCGATGAAATTCCACAAGTTCTGGAACAAAATATCAGCAGTGGTTTTACGGGCAGTTTAATCACACCTGTTATCACACACGCAGAAGCAGTGTGACACAGGAATGTTCAAAAATGAAATAAATGCTTGAGTAACAAACACTTTGGCTTCTACAGTCCTTGATAGCTGATTTCCACATAGATAATACCAGTATAGTTATCTTACAAAGACAAGGTTTTTACAGCTTAAAAAGGTGTGAAGAAAGGGGGCCCAATGGATGGTGGAGGTAAACAAAAATTCACAGCATGTCCATGAAGTGAATAATCATGAGTGGGGCGAAGCGTCCGTCAGCCTGCCTGCGCTTTTGTCCGTCTGTTCTTGTTCCTGTCCGTCGTGCATCCATCCATGCGTCCGTCCGTATGTCCATCTGTCCGTACGTCCGTGCGTCCATTCATCTGTCCATCCGTCCATCTAGTGAACACTTTAAGTACCGCCATCTCGCATCTCACATCCCCGTGGCACATACCCACTCCGCGCATTCATCCATCCGTCGGTTAGTCTGTCTGGCTGTCCGTCCATGCGTCCATCTAGTGAACACTCCAAGTACTGCCATCTCCCATCTTGCACCCCCCGTGACTACGTATGACGACGGAAGATAGACAGACCCAAGCCTTAAGAAGCTTCGCCCCTAAAACAGCAATGTACTGAACATTCTTTTACTTGTCTGATGGAGAAGGCAACTGACACTCCACAGTGTTCACCTGAAGTTTTTTACCACAAATACTATTCATAGTATTTGAGCTTCAGAAAATAAGCACATTGTGAGGGTGGCCGAGAGAGGGCATTACGTGACGGCGTCATCATCATCGGCACTTGGCCGAGAGAGGGCACTACGTGACGGCGTCATCATCATCATTGGGACTGGAGTGGTGGGGGTTGCGTGTGTGGGGAAGGGGGAGTTCGGCCTGGTTGGGAAGAGTGGCAAGACGTAGCGGTGTGTGGTGCGCGATTTAGGGTTAGCGCGTGACAAGTGGGGGCTCGTCTGGGATGGCTTCAGGCCCGACAACAGCAGCGGACGACATGCCTAGGCTCCAAGGTGTCGTTGAAGAGCTGTTGCTGGGCACCGACGGCTCCGCCATGGAGCGTGAACGAATCGCGGATATCGTGCGCGATCGAGTGATGGCGACGCCGCTGACTACGGCTCCGCACGTGGGAGCATGGACTGTGATCGCTAACACTGGGGCGGTCCCTCGGGCCACCGACAACTCTGCGCCTCGGCTCGCCGCTGCGCACCTCCCCCGCTACTCCGGTGCTAGAGACTTGCAGTCGCCGGAGGAGTTTCTTGAACGTTTGGAAAATTTCTGCCTCGTGACGGGGGTCGCCGCCGATAAGCGACTGACACACGTGGTACCCGCTGCCCTCGAGGGTGGCGCGAAGTTGTGGTGGCGGTTCGTGCGCGGGTTCGACTCGTGCGACCAATTCACCGCCGCCTTCCGCTCCGAGTTCTCGTCGATTGGCGCGAAGCGTCGCCTGAAGGCGGAGCTCGAACAGCGCACGCAGCACCCGGAAGAAAATTTGAAAGAGTTTATATATGCGATCGCTACGTTTTACGACCGCATCGGGGAAGAGGTCTCCGAAGCCGAGAAGGTGCAGCGCGTACTGAGGCAGATGCACCCTCAGTTGCAAGATTTGGCGGAGGGGCATGCCTACAACGACCTCGCCGAGTTGGTGAAGGCAGCCGACGGCCTAATGGAGCGGGCTTGGCGTCGCCTCCAGTACAGACCACCGCCACTTCCGAGCAACCAAGTAGCCAGAGATCTGGCGTTCCGCCCTAGAAAGGCCCCCGACCATCGCTCACTGTCGCAGCCGAACACTATGGCGACAGCGTCGTTCGCTTCGTTTGCTGCTGCCCCACCGGCACCGTTGACTTATCACTGGCCACTGCATCCAGCTGCGCTAGACCCGTCGTACTGCCGAGACCGACAGTACTCGTGCGACACAGCGCCTCCGTTCTCACCCTACGGGCCACACCGATGCCGCGGCAGGAGCCCGCAGGTGGAGCAATGCGTGTGCAGTGCCATCGCTGTGGTGGATTCGTACACATATCTCGTAACTGTGCCACGGGTCGATGAATGGGGCCACCCGTTTGCTTCCGGTGCCAGCGATCGGGTCACCTGCAAGCACAGTGCCCGGGAAACCAGTGGCGGTAGGTGCTGCCCCGGCGGGCAACTACGGCAGTGCGCACCAAGTAGCGACCACAGCCGGTGGCAAAGAGCCCCTTATGGACGTCCGTATCGGGTCGTCGACGTTCAAGGCCCTGCTAGATACAGGCTCAAGTGTAAGCTTCTTTGGACCGCACGCCGCGGCGGCGGCCCAAGCTTCTGGAGCCAAACCCAAGGCAGACGTACGCGTGCTGCGTTTGGCATCAGGCTGGTCGCAGTCAACCATGTCTCTGAAGTGCCAGATCGAGTGGGCTGCCGGTTGCCGCAGACAGCAGTTTTTGTGCGTTCCTGACCTGTGCCGTGACGTTGTCCTTGGTAGGGATTTCCTGACGGTGAGTGGCATCTCTCTGCACGTGTCACTTGGTGGGTGGACTGTCGGCACAGAACCACAAAGAATTGTGCCCTTTGTCAAGGCCGTTAATGAACAGCCAGAGGCAGTGGATGATTTTGGAGACAGTCTGCGCTGCATTTTTGCTGAGGGCGATGCCAGTGTGTGTGCCAGTGTGCCAGAGGTGACTGCAGCCTGCAATGTGATCATTCCCGGCCACTCGTCAGACCTAGACCCACGCATGAAACACATTTTAGGAGAGTTTAGAGAAATCTTCACCACAACTCCGGGCTGCACAACCCTGGCAGAGCATCGCATAGACACAAGAGACAACCAACCTGTTCGATGCAAACTGCGACCAGTGAATGCCAAGAAGCAGGCCATCATGGACAACTGCATTCAATACCTGCTGGCACAGAACCTCATCCGCCCTAGCCAAAGTCAGCATGCCAGTGCTCCAGTCCTGGTTGAGAAGAAGTCTGGTGGCTACCGCATGGCTGTGGATTACCGCCAGCTGAATGCACGCACTAAGGTGCCACTCTACCCCATACCAAGGACTGATTGGTTGCTGGCACAGCTGGGACGAGCCAGGTGGTTCTCAAGTTTTGATCTTTCACAGGGTTTTTTTCAAATCCCTGTTCAAGAGCAGGATATTCCAAAGACAGCGTTCATTTGCCATCGGGGAACCTTCGAGTTCATGAGAATGCCCTTTGGAGTTGCCGGAGGTCCTGCCACGTTTCAGACCCTGATGGACCGACTACTGGAGGGAATTATAATCACCAGTTTGCCATGGTGTTTCTCGATGATGTCCTGGTGTATTCGGAGACCCTAGAGGATCATCTTGAGCATGTTCGGGAGGTGTTGAAGCGGATAGGTTCGGCACAGCTGACCATTAACCCAGAGAAGGTGCACGTGTGCTGTCAATACCTGAAGTTCCTTGGCCATGAAATATCGCCCGGGCAGTGTAGGCCGGACAAGGAAAAAGTGCGAGCGGTGCTGGACTATCCTCAACCAACAACACTCAAACAGCTGCAGGCCTTCCTGGGACTAGCAGGCTATTACAGAGGATTCATACCTCAGTTTTCTATCACTGCACGTCCACTCACAGAACTCCTCAAGAAAAACCAACGTTGGCGGTGGGAGCTGCAGCAAGAGGAAGCCTTTAGAGCACTTAAGCAGTCCCTGGCCGACGATGTTGTTGTAAACTTGCCGGACCTCAACAGACCATTCGTGGTGGAAACAGACGCCAGTGGAGTCGGCATTGCAGCGATGCTTCTGCAGGCAGCCGAGAGTGAGGCCGAGAGTGATGCTCAACTGCGTCCAATAAGCTTTATTAGCAGGGTCCTCACTGAGGCAGAGCAGCGCTATACAGTGCAAGAATGGGAGTGTCTGGCTGTGGTGTGGGCAGTAGACAAGTTCCGACCATACCTTGAGTTCACCGAGTTTGAGATACACTGTGATCACTCCTCACTGTCCTGGATGTTCACCACAGACCAGGCGTCACCACGTGTAAAGTGTTGGGTTTTGCGGCTGCAAGGTTTCAACTGCAGGATCAAGCACAGGCGGGGTCTTGCAAATGTGCCAGCCGACGCCTTGAGCAGAGCTCCCCTTCAGCACCAGGAAGTTCCAAGCCCGAGTCTACACGAGACGCTGTTCCCTATGGCTGTTCCAGAGCCCAGCCCACAAATCAGCTTTGAGGCAGCTGCTGTAGCATCTGAAGTGGACGACACTACTGTCTTGAATGATGCAGGGCTCCTCGCCCAGGAACAAGAGCAGGACCCCATACTGTCAAAACTACGAACTGTGATGAAGGGAGGGAAGCTTCCGCCCACTGACAGTGATCAACCTTTGATCAAAGACTTGGCGGAGACGACCGAGATAGGAAGAGAGTGGGTTGCTTATACAGCACCGAGGGAACAGGAAAGTACCTTGGCTACCAAACCATCTCTGCAACTTGGTCCTGCGACTGTCCCATGACCACCCGATTAGCGGCCACTCCGGCTTTTTCAAGACCCTCAAACGCATTTCTCAGAATTTCGTGAGGCTGGGTATGCGCTCGGACATATCCAAGTATGTGCGATGCTGCCAGGCTTGTCAGTGCACCAAAGCCCACCGGCAGAAGCCAGAAGGGCTGATGAGCAGTAAATGGGCCACTGCCCCCATGGAACAGCTCAGCGTGGACATAATTGGGCCCTTGCCTATGACGCCTCGACGCCACAAGTACCTTCTCGTGGTGATTGACAAGTTAACCAAGTTCATTGAACTTTTCCCATTACGGGCAGCAAACAGCAAGAGTGTGGTGGCCTGCATGATCCAGGTTTTTTGCAGACATGGCACACCTGTCTCCATTTCAAGTGATAATGGAAAGCCGTTTGTAAGCAGGTTGTGGAAGGGCCTCCTTGAGCATTGGGGCATACAAGACCGACACACTGTTCCGTACCGCCCTGCCGGGCAAATGGTGGAGCGCCACAATGGCATTATCAAGCAGTGCCTTAGGGCTTATTGTTCCAGCCACAAAGACTGGGACCAGCACATCCCTGAAATTGCCCTGGCCATGCGCACGGCTGAAAGCGTTGTCACGGGCTACACGCCTGCCTTCCTCTGTTATGGCTGGGAGCTGAGAACCCCATGGACACAGGCTGAGGCCAAAGACGACACGGAGCCTCCTGCGACAGCATACCGTGCATTTGCTACTGAGATCTCCAAGTGTCTGCAGGAGCTGCTTGACTTCTCCAGGGCACACCAAAACCACATGTGGCGCGCCCAGAAGACTCGCTACGACCAGCACAGGCGGCCACTGACAATACAGGAGGGTGATCTTGTTCTGCTCGAAAGCCACTCCCTCAGCGATGCCACCAAGGGCCTCTCCTCGAAGCTTGCACCCCGGCGTTCCGGTCCCTTTCGGGCAGTGAGACGTGTGGGACAGAATGACTTTGTTCTAGTGGACCCCAAAACGGGTCGTCGCCACGGTGTGAGACACGTAGATCAGCTGACACTCTACCATGACGCTGCAGGCGATGTGTAGTGGTGGTTTCACATTTTGAGGGGGGAAGACCTGTGAGGGTGGCCGAGAGAGGGCGTTACGTGACGGCGTCATCATCATCGGGACTTGGCCGAGATAGGGCACTACGTGACGGCATCATCATCATCATTGGGACTGGAGTGGTGAGGGTTGCGTGTGTGGGGAAGGGCGAGTTCGGCCTGGTTGGGAAGAGTGGCAAGACATAGCGGTGTGTGGTGCGCGATTTAGGGTTAGCGCGTGACAACATATAGCATTTTTATTGGCTAAATATCAAATCACAGCTTTTGTGTGATTCTGTGATGGCTGTCATCATACCCTGACACTATTTTAGACACAGTAGATTGACCAATGTGCTCATACTAAAAGGCATACAGAATAAAACAAGAAGTGCAGCATCTGCTTGTACTGTACTTAAGCAAAAAAAAGTAGAAAAAAGAGGCAAGCCCCCTTATAGAAAATTAGATTTATTCTGCTGGGAATTTCTTTGGTTCAGTAATTCAGTTTTGCTGGCTTTGAGGTCGCTTGCGCTAACGTCTTGATGTGATCACTTTCTGAAAACAGCCCCATCTGCTCGAGCCACCACAAAGTGAACCGCAGCTTCTGCAAGCAAATAAAGTGCCTCAAAACAAGCAGTTCTCTGGAACCCCTTCTCTCGTAGTCCACAGAAGTTCTCATCCAGAAGCTCATGTCGCCCAAGGTGAAGGCATGCTCAAGGTGAAGGCCTGAACTTGAGAAGTATGAACTGCACGCCCATATGATCCCATATGCGCATGCACCCTCCCACCGAATCAAGAAAACTGCTAGGGCATGCTGGTGTGCAGGTCATGTTCTTGGCCTCACATGAACTAGGTTCTTCGCGCAAATGTGTGGATGGGGGCCACTTTTATCACAACCACTGAAGGAAGAAGCACAATTTGACCCAGGTGGATTAAAAAACAGGAGTAATATATGGAGTTTTACGTCCCAAATCAATCATAAGATTATGACAGACGTCATAGTGATGGGCTATGGGAAATACTATGTGGTGTTCTTTAACATGCACTGACTTTGCGCCGCACACGGGCCTCTCGCATTTCGCCTCTATCGAAATGCGACCACCGCAGCCGGGATCGAACCGGCAACCTTTGGATCAGCAGCCGAGCCCCCTAACCACTACACCACTGCAGCAGACTTCAAAATGGGAGTAGTATATGAAATTCCCCCCACTTGCGGCAGAACGTACGTAGGCCAAACTAGACGTTGCCTCACCGCCCACTTGCACGAACATGCGAACATCGTGAGGAATAAACGTGGCAGTAATCTGGCGCTCCACTGCGCCGAATGCAGGTCCGCACCTTTCCTTCAAGACACCAAGGTAGTGCGCGAGTACAAGGATAACTGTGCTTGTGAAATGTTCGAGATTTTCACAATGATGCGCACAGGTTCTGTGTGTGTCCTGCGCCCGGCCATTCCTCCTTTTAGAGAAGAAATACGCCTTCCAGCAGCAATCGACACGATGCAGCCTTCTGCTTTTATCATCAGTACCACGTGTAACTTTACTATCTTCTCTTGTTAACCTCCCCGCTGACTTTTCATAGGCTATATATTTGTGCACACACAATAAAAGCTTTGTTGGTAGTCAGAGTTTGTCACAGTGTGCTGCTTCATTGTTTATGTTTGACATAACAGTTTCCACAAATGGATAGGCTCATTGCTTGCTACATTCTTGATTTTGCAATGACAGTATTACTACTTGTGAAGCAATTCATTTTCAAGTGTAGTTGTAAAGATTTTAAGAATGAGTCGTCAGTAGCACTGGCTTTCAATGGCCTCTATTCTTTGATGGTTACAGGAAGTTATGTAGGGCACTGCTCACCTCTTCTTCGTAGCCCTCGCATGTCCTGCACCTGACGTCCGTGTCGTATCACAGGGTCGTCACAAGTTGCGTACGAGGCTGCCTGCATCGGCGTCCTCGGTTTCACGCCTCGCAGGACCTGCCCGACGATGTTGTGCACCGCTAGCTTAGTTGCTGCAGTTGTGGCCTCTAGGTGGCGGCTCGGAGGGTTGTGGCGCGAGATCATGTTGTCCAAAAAACCCCACAGGTTGCTCGTCACGCCGGACATCAGTGCTGGGGTCTGGGTCGCTACAGCCATGCTGCGAAGCTGGGGACCAGCCACGGCCTGAAACGAGCGTTATTTGCCTTTTTGGTAGGTTTAAACATCTCAATATCAAAAAAAACTTCTGGTCACTTCAATGATTCCTCTCTAACACCAATGCAGAAAGCGTGTATTTTAAGTTGTGCCAAAGTAAGCAAAAACTTTTTTTTTTCCGCTTTCAGGTAAAAGGAAGATGCTTAAAGTTAAGGACTCACCGCTTTTATAACGTTCCGCTTAGCTTTGAAAAATGTTCATTAAAAATTTTTGGCAAGACACAGAGAGAAAAGTGGTTAAAATGGTAGACTACTCGTTAAAGCTTTACATCCTCGCTAATGCTACTAAACTATGCCTGTGCATATAACTGGAAGCCGTCCCGAACCTGTGTTTGTAAACAGTGAATACAGCTATATCAAGGCTTTCTTTGTAGTGCAGGGTAGTGCTAGAGAAGAATTGAAGAATGTCTATGCTCTGCTTCAAGAGTAGAACACAATAGTGTAAACGGTCTCCTTTGCTTAGTGTTGGCATCTGAAAGCTCATGGTGGGAGCAGCGCAGCTTCTACATGCGCCAACAATGTCTCTCCACTGCCCACGCATTCCAGTGTGATAGCACCGACTAAAAAAACTGCTGCAGTAAGCGCCACAAAAAGGCAGCAGTGTTGATGCGTGAATGGCGTGCCTTGCTGAAGCAAGACAGAGGCCAGCAGGATGTGAAATGCCTGTGCACGGTCGCGACTCAAGCTACGGACCTCTGCCTCCCACTTTGCTGAAATGCAGTGTGGTAGTGTACACATGAGCGCCGGCAAAGGTTACCATACTCGCAAGCACACACCGTGCCATTTCTCTCATTAATTGACGATGCTTTGAAGATGCCCACATGGAGTACTAGTCTTTAGTGCCAGCCTGTTAATGTCATTTTTGCGCAGGAGTCACGACACACTGTGTCCAGCTACAAGTTGTAGACTTCAGCTACCGCAATGGCTAAGTCATGGTTGTGGGCATTAGTTGTTGTGATAGAATTGTACCACTAGACGTCAATGTGGGCGTGTCCACATCAAATGACGCTATAGCTGTCAAGCACCAGTCAACATTGTACAAGCTCTCAGATATCCCTACACAATAAGATTTTTTTTACGAAGACATCTCTTACTTGTGTTAACCCGATTTCTATGATGGAGGGATCAACCACATTTTTAATGCATATACCATGCGTGTTAAGAATATATACTAACGAGTTTTAGAATAGCGTATACTTAGCATTTTTTGCCCTCACTCAACGGGGTCTACAAGAGGTTAGCGTATGACGCATGTGCAGTGGCGACAAATGCTGACATAAAGCTTTGTGTACTATTCTAAAACTTCCTACTATTGGATATTATTTGGGATGCATCCGGGAAATCTCCTTGCAATTTGTGCACCCCTTTTCGGAGCTCCGAATTCACGAAAAAAGTCTGCAAATTGTGCAAGTAAATACGGTATTTCCCCCTAGTCTCATAAATCCCAACTACAGAAGAATCTATAATATGCTTTTCAAAGAGATACGAGAAAAAACGTAGCATCCAGAAAAAAGTACAATCAGACTTCACATACACATTGCGAAGTTTTCCTTAGTAACATTATTGTGAACGTTCACACCAGGAAATCGCACAAAGCTGGTTTTGCTGTCCAACTAAAAGAGTCCTAATAAAGGCCTAGTTGACCTGTTGCTGCAGCTGTTGTCGTGGGCACGGAGCTGTTGCAGTCACCGACGGTTGGTGGAAGAACAGTCCCATCTTTTGGACGACAATGCTGCGCAAAAAGTCATTGCGCAGGTCCTGCCACTCAACCAGTTGGCCCAACAGTTTGAACAGCTCCTGGCCCTGGTCGGACGTCCAGTTGTACAGGTACAGGGTCAGCTGAAACAAATGCCAACGGTAACGTTGCAAGACTTGAAGCAACTTAGCTTTTCCTGGAAAGATTAATGTAAATTTTGAGCAGGACTAACTGCATGTAATTTAGAACAAAGTCCACAAAAGTATAATAATATAATTGTAAGGGTTTAACGTCTCAAAACCACCCGATGATTCTGAGAGACGCCGTAGTGGAGGGCTTCGGAAATTCGACCACTTGCGGATCTTCAACGTGCACCTAAGTATAATCAGATGGGCCTCAAGCAAGTTCGAAAATGCGGCTGCACTTTCGATGGAGGTGAAAATGAAGCCGTTGAAAATGGGGCGACAGATTAAGCCAGCAGTGCAAAAGCGAGACACGTTAGGGTATGCCTACTCACTGCTGCTGCACCTTCTTCTACTTCCAGTGTTCTCAGCAATCGTAATCTAAACCAGGCTCTCGAACGTATCCTTATCAAGGCCATGAGCTTTGTCGTGTTGCATGGTTGTTCACGATTGTGTTGATGAGAGCCACCACTGACGCCTTGGACCCCATGTTGAATTTGCAGATGGTTGTTTACATCATGTGTTTTGAGAGCTAGTGCAGCCGACGTAACAAAGCCATGAAGCAAAAAGGTTCCTGCTATTTATTGCATCGCCGAAAAATAGGTCTTTGACAGATTTTTTCGCGTCAGCCTCGCGACATGGTTTTTCGATGATTTAAGCGGCGAAGAGAGCATTCACTCCCTTCGAGGCTAAGTGTGAATGGGCCTTCCTCCCCCAGACAAGCCGCGTTGCGCTGTTTGCGTGCAGCAGTCAATCGTACATTTGCATCATACGCTGTGACTGGGGAAGCCGTTCGTATAGCACCGAATCTCAGCGTACTTTATATAATGTAGCCCATCTGAAACAAACTTAGAATTTCTACCATCGTGAAATTCACATCAACCGTAATCATCTCAACAAGATTCTACTATACAGAATAATTAATTACAGCAACAGCAACAGGGAGAGGGGTGAGGCCAAAAGTGAAGTCCATTAAGAATAATTCATTGGTGTTGCACTTCTCGTTAGGGTCTATTTAAGGAGACAAACTCACAGACTTGTCCTTGACTCGCAAAAAGAGCAGCCGCTGCCGCGGTATCAACGCAGGCTGCCGAACATCCCCAGTGTCCACCCCCACAGTGGGGTTCTTGGCCTTTTCTGGCAGCACAAGAGTGGTTGGCGGCGCAACGATGGTTGGCGGTGCGACGATGGTTGGTGGCACCGATGATGGCGTGCTCGGCGTTCGGCAGAGGGCTGGTGTTTCCAGAGATGTTGTCATTGGCAGTATGTGTGGCTCAAAAAGCTGAGTGGACTTGTGGCCTGCATTACAATAATACAAACAAAGGTTCCTGGAAACAAGGAATATATTGGTTCATTTATAAATGGCATTGTTATGATTAGGTGAATGGTGTATACTTTGAATAGTCTTCACTTACACTGATACCTTAATATAATGAACCCAGATATAACTAAATATTGATTATTTAAAGTAAAAGAAAAATAGTCTTGCACTAGATATAGTGCTAGAATTGAACTTTTATAACAAATTTTCAGATATAAAAAACTTATCGTTGCATAAGATGCAACTTTGTTATAACAAGGCTTGAGTGTATATTCCTTTCAACGGCAGCGTGTACAATTACACGCAACATTGGAGGCACGTCATGTATCACGTACTCCTTCATATACAGTCGAACTCCGCTGCAACGAACGCCGCTTCAACGCAATTTCCGCTACAATGAAAAATTCATGATTCCCCGTCAGCAGTCCAGAGGAGTCAATGCATAAATATTGTCGCCACAACGAACCCTTTCTCTTCGATCGCCTCGCTTCAACAAAATTTTGCAATGCAATTCCAGGCTCAGATACTTATTGCTATGCAGTAAACCCAATCTTTGACATTTCAATGCATTTTCAGAGCCTGAAAATGCGTCAACTAAGTCTAAAACACGCGTTGGCACCATTAGAAACCGCTGCTGTATTGTTGCTATTCATCATAAAGCCTGGACGCCGCCATTGCGCGATAGCGACGGCGATGAAGCTGCCCTATTTTTGTTTTGCCACTGACTTGCTTTTGAGCCGCAGACGATCCAAACCTGAAGCTCAGTCGCTCAGTTCATGGTTTCCTTCACGCAGCTGCCGCAGCTGCTGGGTGCAAACGCGAAGCGATGCATTTTCCCGATTCCTATGCTTATCATTTTATTTGTGCTTGGCCAGTGTGGTACCTAATCAAAGTGGCTGTTCGTCCTCATTATCAACAAAATCAGCTAGCCGCGAGTGATGGATGATAAGAATGGCATAGAATAACACAAAAGTCACCGCTCCACGATACCCCTGCCTCCATCTCGGCGTTCTCAGATACTTTTGACGGCGGACAGCTGCTAGTGTTAACATGCTAATGCAACTGTTTGGTTCGTTCACGAAAGCGGTTTTAGGCGTTGTTTCAGCGTACTTTTCACTATGCGTACTTTTCACTATGGCCTTGCTATGCAAGGCCATAGTGAAAAGTACGCTGAAACAACGCCTAAAACCGCTTTCGTGAACGAACCAAACAGTTGCATTAGCATGTTTGCGGTTTTAGGCGTTGTTTCAGCGTACTTTTCACTATGGTCCTTGCTATGCATGGGTGAGAATCAAGTCGTGATGCAGCTGGGAAAGAATAGGAAGCAGCGGACATTTTTTTAATTTGGAGAATAAACGTTCTTTTGTTTAGTAGCTCAGATCAGCTATCTGTTTTCGATTTCACTACAACGAAATTTTTTCCGCGCTCCGTGAGTTTCATTGTAGCGGGGTTCCGACTGTAGCTTTGAAACTCAATGTAGCACTCAATGAAGAAAATGTACGTCTATTCATCAATTTCGAATAATTTGCAATTTCTTATTATTTAAATTCATATCAAAGCGATTCTGAATACTGTAATAGTTCTTCAAGTATTCTCCCTAGCCTACACCTTACTTATGTAACACTCTATAAAGCACTGCCCATTAGACTCACCTGGCCTCAATAGCTACAGGCTTCCCGAGTGTACAAATAGTGATCATTTAACATCATTAGGCTGCGTATTGCTGCAAAAAATCACTTTGCAGGAGACACCATGTTAGACGGTCGTTCAATGTGCTGCTTACCAGGACCAACGTCAAGAGCATTTTTTTTTTCTTACCTTGAAAAAAGTACAAACAAAAGGGACTGCATGCACTTTGCGTCTAATATTGAATTTTCTTAATGCAAGAATTGAAGCTGACTGATTGAATGAATAATTAGATATTCAATTACTTAAACACACAAAACAGTACAATCCTTTATTTTCTGTTTCGGAATGTCACATTCAAGTGCCTTGAAATCACAACATACAAATTTGACACATTTGCAGACGATGGATTCACTGCTGATGGAGATATCAACAGTGTTGTTTCGTATCTTTTGATTTGAGTGTCCCTTGTAAGTACCTGAGGGTCAAGCATTATGCCTGCATCAAAATGCAGCCATTGCATGCAGCTCGCGTTCTTCAAGGTCAGCAGTCGAGCACCTGATCATAGCAGCGGCATTATGAAATTAGCTGCCGAGGGGGTGGATGAAGGTTATGTCTTTGCACTTCTGCAGATTATGCCTTATGCACTTCCGTGCACGCATTGCCAGCTCTACTCTGCTCTGCAAAATACAGCTGTGCCCAATAAATACTAGCCACATTGGTGCTCATATCTGTTGAGGATCACGCCTACCCTGGCTACAGTGAAAGATCTGGCAGACACAATCCCAACTTTGCGTCCTTATCTCTCACCTTTAGTCACCCGGTGGCTCTCGATGTATGCTGACAAGCTAGAGATCCCCATGAATGCCTTCCACTGGGCCATGTCCCGACCGACAACAATGAAGCATCGCTGGCTGCCGGGAACTGCCGTTTCAACATATTTCTCTGGAAACTGGAATTGGTCACAATTAAAGCATGGTTACTTAAGTGTTACAGTAACAACTACATAATTTTAAAACTGGTAATGTCAAATAATTTACACATATCGTGCAAAGATACTATATTTACATGACTCCAGCCATTATTTAGATTATTTTACGATCATCCGGGCTTATGGCTACCAAGCGATGCTTCGAACTGCACCCGGTCTACTAGAATACGGCCACTGGTGCCACACAAAAAACTCTTATAATCAGTAATCTTTTTGGCTTCTGACTAGGTCAATGAATCAGCGTACTCTTTGATGCCTGTTGTCATACTCTAAATGAAACCTCACTCTAGGGTCGAGTATTTATGTGCACGTTTTCTCTTTTTGAGCACATTAGCTTCTAGGTTGTCTTGTAGAAATGCCCTCTTTATGCACTCGAAGGTGCAGTGCAACAAAACAGATTTCTCAGTGGAGCCAATACAACCAACTTTATGCCACAAGATATGGCGGGGGATGATGATGACGCCATTACTGGCAGGGCTGTAACTTCTGCCATCTTAGAGCAGGGCGCAACTTCAGAAGGCCTTTTCTCATCAAAGGTGGACGAATGTGAGACTGCACCAATGAAAGCACACTCTAGACTGATGTCATGAGCCTGACACCTGGTGACACCGCCCTCTGGCTGATGTGTGGGACTACAGCAGTGCTTCATCATGAGAAAGTCAGCAGGAGGGCAAAAAATTTGTTATAGGCGGTATTTGGATATTAGCCACTACTCGAGAAAAGCTAAAGCAGTCAAGCTTTAACTGCACTAAAATTGTCAGAAGGTAAAAAAAAGAACACCATGTTTTCAATGAAAAAAAAAAAAACCTTGATTAGGTGTAAAAGCAAGCACTCTTATGATACAATAACATGATAAGTCACACAGAGCACCCAATAAAATGCTGCGGCGCAAGGCTGAGCCCGTGATCTTTTGGTTGTACTAGATTTGGTTGTACTAGGGCTGCAGTAATGTTGTCAGTGTGTCGGTGATAACTACTGCCGACCGCTGCGGGCGGCACAGGTTGCATGGCACCAAGCAAAGTTTGTCGCAAGTCACCAAGAGATGACCATTGTAACGAACAAGGCCTAAATCACTCACACAATGCTTTGAACAACCACACCGAACTTCTTTATTCCCAAAACTCAACCCTAACTCTTCTTCTCCCAGTCCCAATTATGATGGTGGCGCCGTAACGTAGCGCCCTCTCACGGCCAACCTCACACCATAATGTCTTGTCAGGTTAGTGAGATTAACCGACACGGTCGGGGATTTTTTTTCTACCAGCACTCGCATCACACAGTGTGCGAGCCTCCAGGATTTTACCTCCATCGAAGCACGATTGCTGTGACCGCGAGTGAACGAGCATGATTCAGGTCAGTAAAGGAGCATTGTAACCACTAGGGAACCGCAATAGTAGAAAACATGTGACGCGCACAACGGTTCAGAAACACTTGACACACCAACAACATGACCAAGTGCGAAATAAAAACCAGAAAAGCAGGTGCACAAAAAACAAGTATACTGGTGTAAATGATGACGCTAAAGCTGACTGAAAAAGAAATATTGCGTCCCCTAGGGCGTTTTGCCAGCCAAGGAAGAGCGGGCATGGCCTCTGAAACTGGAAGATTATGCACGCTCTCTATTGTGATACGACACAGTCGACTTGTGGAACCCAAGCTTGACCAAGCGGGTGGAAAATCTCATAGAGTTTTCCAAAATTAACTAGAGGGCACTCTGGCACTGCGATCGTTCTGCGACCATGGGAATGATGGGTAGTACACACATTTGCCTAGTCTTTGTACTTGCGGGTGGCAAATCGTACTCGCGGCTTCGTTTATTGCTGGTTACGGTTTTGTTTTGAAAGAAAGAACGAACCTTTTTGAACTTAGTGACTTGATTCGAAATGGCAAGCCTAAAAGAATAAGGCTGTGAAGCGCAAACGGTGAACATTTGCTAGTTTATGTTTTCGTGAAAAAACAGCTCTAAGCCACACGAACACACATGGAGCCAGAAGCAGGTCAGAAGTACGAAAATTAGACAAATGTGTGTACTACCCATCATTCCCATGCTCGCTGAAGCGCCGTGTGCTGCAGCTCCCATAGACACTAGCGCCAGAGTTCCCTCTAGTGTATATTAAGAAACTCTATGGAAAATCTTACACGGTGGTTCTTAAGCAGCATGGCTCAAAATGAGCACTTCAGTTTGAAAAAAATCAAACTTAGAGCATGAATTTGTACTAAAAATTGGTCGTGAAAATGTATCAGTGCTTTAGGAACCTTGACAGTGTATTTATGAAGTCTCAAATATCCATGAAGTCTGAATTTTCGGAGCTTAGAAATTTGTCGACGAATGTAAACAGATGGGAGCTCGCTTGGTACAGGTTACAAGGTGGTGATCGGTCATTGGTTTGGAGCCTTTGTGACCTGATCTGTGCCTGCATGAAACATTGGCAGTGCATGTGCACAAGGGTCATCGCCGCTTGGAGACACCTCTACTCACCGCTTCATTCTAAGCAGGTCAACCTCTTCGTACGCTTTGGGTAATACAGTGCAGTCCACTTATAACGATATCGAGAAAACCTAAAAATATGATCGTTATAACCGGTGATCGTTATATCTGGACTGCCGCCAAAAAATCGTCGCCGGACGTACCTTTTGTAGCTCCAGGCTTCATTTCGCTATTTTCACCAATTAATAAATATTGTAGATAGTAGGATGTCAAAAACAAGACTTTATTTCTTACTCCGAAGAACGCATCACGGGTTCGCTGAGGAAGAGAAACTGACCGACGGCGGGGTGGGAGCAGTGGGAGGAAGAAAGCACAGCCAGAGGTACACAGCCGGAATGCCAACGAGGCCCCGCCCCGATGCCGCCGCGCCGCTATGCTTTTCGCTTTTTTATTTTCTCTCTCTTTCCCGCTTTCGTTCAGCAAGCTACGAGTTAGCTTGCCGGCTTGCCGTTGTAGAAGGCGGGGAGCCGCGGAGCGCGGCGCTTTGCTTTTCGCTTTTTTTTTTTTAATTTTCTCAGCCTCTTCGCGGTCGACGCGCGGCGAGGCGCAAAACGTGACACAGCTGGCGCCATCTGTAGCGCGTCGCGCCAACTCGCGACGCTCTCCTCGGCTTTTTGAACGGCCGGGACGCGCTGCCGGCGCTGTGCTGCAGTGGCGGCAGGTACTCGCCTACGCTAACTTTTCGTCTTGTCTCGGCATAGTTCGTTTCAGAGGAACTTATCAATCTAAATGTTACGATTATTCTGAATGAAACATGCCGTCCACGGCAAACTTTTCATCGTTGTATCCGATATGCGGTGGATAACATATCGTTATATATGGTTTTTTTCCCCATAGCCCCAATGCATAAAATGAGACTGTTAAGTCGACCCATCGTTATAACCGATATATCGTTATATGTGGTATCGTTATAAGTGGACTGCACTGTACGGCTTAGTAGAGATGCATATTGGTCGGGACCAGACAAAATTTTCAATAAAGTGATATTTAGAGTTAAGCAATATTGTTATAATGAGGAATTACTGTATTTTTTTTAATCACCAGGCAACTGGCAATTGCAAATCAGTCTCCTGGATAGGACCTGAACTAGGCCATCTTCTCTGTGAGAAGTCGTTTTGCAGCCTTGCAAATTTATTAGCAGAGTTTATTTTGATCAAAAGATTCAAGTTTTCAGGGTACCAATTCTGGAGGTGACTTAGGTTCTGAATTGCTGTGATTCGCAGGCTCATACATAAAAGGAGCCTACAGCCCTGAAACATGTCTGTCAATGTTTATAAAGAATTTAGTGCCTTTTTAATAAAAGCAATGGTGAAGATTGTGGTACCCTACCAACTTGCACCAGAGTGGCACCGCAAAAGTTCATCAGGCTCACCATAGAGTGCTTAACGAGCGGGTTGAAGTGGACAAACTCAGTGGACCGACTCGTGCTCTCCTCCGTGAACATGGCAAGTGAAATTTCGGGGGCGAGGTTCTTGAGGCCATTCTGGAACTCCTTCAAGATCAGTGGGACGGCTCGTCGGGCCTTGACAGAGCAGCGGTGTACAACCAAGCTGGGTACACCTGTATGGGGAAATATTTTAAGATAGCAATAAAAACAAAAATGTGAAAAAGATTGTGCGAGCTCGATGCAATTCAATGCATATTTTGGAATCTGTGAAACCAAGCATCGGCAAAGGGGTTAGGTAAAAGCTACAGAACAGTCTATTTTGATCATAGTGAAAAGCAACTACATGAAATTGCTAGAACATTAGCAGAGCCTTTTGCACAAGTCCTCCTAAAAAATTTTTGGTATATTAAGTGGTATATGCATAACTGAACTTGGATGATAAAACTGTGCAAAAAATGAGATAAATATTCATAACAAAAACCAACTAGCCCAAATCAAGACAATGATATACATCAGTTCTGTTCACAACAAATGTCTCAGTAGGTGCACTCAACAGAATAAATTTTGATTAAGGCATTATCATCTTATCACTTTTTGAAGTCTTACAGAGTTTCAACTAAGCTGGCGACTTTTCCATCGGCACTCAGGTAGTTCTTTAACTGGCTAAACAGCTAGATGAGGAGGGCGGAAACAATGCGATGAAAAATAAAACAGAATCTGAACAACAAAAAAAGCAGCCCACTGTCATTTCAAGCTCGCATTGGCTGCCTGGAGAAAAAACACGTAATGGGCCAAAATTCAAAACACTATTAGGCGTGAATGTAAACATTCGACAGATGTCTTTCTGGTTGGGTATGAAAACTGGGAAATAATTTAAACTCCAACCGAAATTAAACTTCGAACCAAATTTAAACTCACCCCACTATTAGGCCTGCATGAATAGCAGTGAAATAGCAGCAAAACAAAAAAGAAAAAACGCAGCACAGTGTACAATCGAACCCATTCATAAGAAACTCTAAAGTGCCACAAAAATGGCTGTTATGTAAGTAGTTCAGTGTACAGCGAATTCCTGTTAAGATAAACTCAGTTAAGAAGTCAAATTCTTGGTATCCCACACACAACAAGGGAATGTTTGTTTGGCTTCCCATAGACTCAATGCCCAAATGCAATGAAAGAAAAAAAATCAGCTTAAGACGAACCACTTAACAGGTAGTCTTCTGTTACAATGAAGTCTCACAGTGACTGCAAAGGTTAGCAATTTTGGGCAAAATGAACACTGCAGTCATGCTTGCGCATTCATGTGAATGAAGGAAAGTTAAAAAAAAAAGAAAGCTTTTCATTTACCTTTTATTTTAAAACTGCGTAATCTTGTACACGTTAGATTCATGTAAGTGTGGTATCTGAAGGCATAGTTCTAATCTTAGTTGAGCCAAATTAACTCTTTTTTTTTTGTCATTCTTCCCCATTTTAATGTCTATACATTTGCTTTAGAGTAACATGTCGCATTTACACAACTATAGGTTCACCCGTTTTGTCTTTACTTGAAATCTGAAGTGGGGGGTCAACCTAGCATCGAAAACAAGTTTCCGTTATTAGGTTGGTTTTCTGACTGATCCCCGCGTACTACTGCAAAGCTAGCTTTTCTGCACAGTTTGCAAGTACTGCCGCAAAGCCACCTTGGCATAATGAAATTTGCAGTTTCTTTAGACATCGCAAATATTAAAAACAAATAATAACAAAATGTGCTCATGCTCCTTTTTTTTTTTTTGTCACAAGATTTTAGGAGGGTCAACCTGCATTCGCATCGACTTAAAATGGCGTAAATAATGTATATGAATGCACTTTGCATGTGGCATGTCTTTCTTGAGAGGCACTTCTGAAGAGCCAACTCCTGATAAGAAAAACAAATGACTGAGGTCCAATCCGAGTTCGCTGTTAACGGTAGTCTACTGCATATAGACTCGCGCCTGAAAGCGTGCAGGCTTAAAATTTTATTTTCCTGCGCATTTTCATTAACCTTTCTTGTGCATTGTCAGCCCCCGCCCCGCAACCCTACACGGCTGCAACGGTCTGTGGACGAGCACGGTTGGACAAGGTCTTTTGCAATCAATTTAAGCTTGCATTTCGTCACTACATTATCGGTAAAAGAGTAAGTAAACATTTTCTATTTGAGCTTTGGGTCTTTTAGCTTTGGACCAGAATGGACAAAAAATGGGGAAAGGTTTTGGACCACAAAGAGTTAAAAGTGCGAACAACCCCTCGGGTGACAAGCTTTTCTTTCATTGCGAAATGATGCCCGCTGCATGATCACAAGAGAATCGACCCACCTTTTCAGAAAAATGGACACTATTTAACTAGGGCACAAGACTGTTGTGCGGGCCAAATCATACCTAGCTAGTTGCATGCAGCACATCGCCTGCTCAGCTCATGTCATTGCTGGGCCACTTGCTACATGCGAATGTTTGTGCGTTCTTTGTACCTGCTTCACTCCGGAGCGAGCACCTGAGCGGCGAGTAGACTTGTTTGTTCAACGCAGCAAAGAGGAGCATTTAGCAAGCAACATTCACTCCGATGTTTCTGCAATGCCGTGGTGGTCCCGGGTTAGTGTGCTTGGGTTGTCGCCTAATGAAACATGCAGCATGCGCTTGCTGTCAGTGCATTGATGTTTTTTAGTGCATGCCACAAGTAAGCTGAAGCAGGGTCTGCGCGAGCATGCACCTCTCTGACGTTTTAGAATGCCTGATACAACTTTTCTTTTTAATGCATATGTGCCACATTTTTAGAGTGAAAGTGTGTCGTGTTTGTTGTAAAAGTAGTAGGCTTTAAAAAATGTTTGCTATACAGTAGACTGTCGTTAAACAGAATCTGAAGGGACTAGGAGAATGTGTTCTATTTAACAGGAGTTCCGTTCACTGAGAGATGAAGAAGAGTGGAGAATTCAAGTACGAAAGCAACCACGCTGAAGGCAGTTGTTCCATTTAAGCAGCAGTTCCAACAGATTTTCGTTTACTGGGTAGCACAGAAAAACTGTAGGAGCATAAAAATATGGTTGTCGTAACTGTTAGATTATTGGGTTTAGGATCATTACAAAAGTGCCTGACTGCAATAGAATGCTACGATATCAACACCCCGCAAGGCCCACGTGAGACACTCATCTTTCACAGGCTCTGCGATTAAAAATGAATTAAGGTGCTAAGAGTCGACAGCTTAAATAAGCAAGATAGGTTTAGAGCATTGGCAGAAAAAACAAAACAGAAAAAAGACTGACAGAACCTGAGTCCTTGCAGGCTTAAGTATAAAAATGCATTGTAAAGGTTAGAGCCATGGTTGCCAGATTTGGCTACTTTTTTTAGGCTGGCGGTGGCATAAAAAAAATGCCTTGATTGTTTGGCTTCTTCTTAGCTACTTTCTTGTTTCCATGATTTTAACTGGAGTGTCAATATCTGATGTTGCAGCCAATGCCGTTCGAGTATGCAGCGTCAAACAAGGTGGCCAAGTCCTGCCACCATTATCACCACTATTGCTATCAAAGTGTATTGCCCGTTTCACTTACGAATTTCCACTCCGCCTTCGAGAAACCCATGAACCCCGTGCTGAAACATGGTGTTTAATGTCTTGCTGCTGCTTGAGGCCCAGGTTTCAGATGCAACAGACTCTGCCTCCATAGATCGCACGGTGCCCTTGGTGCCGCCAGTCGGCAGAGATGGTGCAACATCGGCAAACAGCGAATCAGAGAACTGAAAAGATTAACAAAAATTGACAACCACTTTGGCATTTATTTCTGTGAGCACTGTAGTTCTGTCCCAGAACACAAAGAACTACAGTGGCACCACTGTCTCGTGGAACCAATGTAGTTCCACCGCAAACTATGGGAAGGAATAAGCAAGGCTTTATCTTTTCTCGTTCTTCTTGTGCTGCTCAATTTCAGTATAGAATGCAAACATGCATGTTCAAATACTCTGGCAAGCTTCCTAGCATGTCACATTCAACAATACACCAACACCACCTGCCCACACAAGTGAAGATTGTTGGAGTGTTATCACCCCTTGTAAAGTCATTTGCGCCTCGTGGCGCACACGTCTCGCGGATAGGCCGCACTTAGGGTTAACAACCATTGAGCAGTAGGCGGCATTGTGCTTGCGCGTGTTTACCACCACCAACATGATCATTATTACGGTTAGCGCTGTAGCGCCAGCAGTGACGCCTGGCAGCGAGGCTGGGTAATACAGGAGCGACACATGAGACAGGAGCGGCTCTATTCGGCCTGTAGCGGGTGGCAGGGATGATCGTCTCCTGACAAGGTCCCGCGAGATGCGACGGCAGTGGGCCGTCTCATGTAGGTTTCTAGCGGTGAGTTGAACATCAGCGACATCGCTTTCCTGTTACCTTTCATGTTGATTGAGTGTATTGGAATATTGTATAAGGTTGTGTTTTAGCATGTCACTAGTGAGGTATTTGATTCAACTGACGATATCGTCGATGTAAAAGTAATTTAATAAATGTACATGTTGTTCTGGTTCACTTCGACCATACCGATTCTGTCTGTGTGTTTCGAGAGCGGCGAAGAACTCACATTACGAGACTCCACAAGCTTTTGCTACCATACAACTAGTTTTGTTATTTTTTCTGTGGTAATGCATGCAACATATTTTATGGAAAAGCAATGAAACATGCTTGTGTCCAAGCAAATGCAGTGCTCATTGGACATACAGTGATGTGCCTTTTTAGTCGCCAGAATTGGTCACATGTCAGTGGTGTGCACTATGAAACAAATAGAATCAAATGAGAAGGATCTATCGACTGTAATGGCCCAAAAATAATGCGCAGCTGGCACATCTGGGTAGTGGCACCTGCTTCAAGCCGTACAAATGGGAAATGAAAGCTCACATTAAACTCTGTCGGGTTTTCTTTGGGTGATTTGACTTTCTCCGAAACGTCGGGCACAGAAGAGGACATTTCTTTGCCCCGGGAGGCGAACATGCTGAATAGGGAGGGCTTGTCACGTGCTTGCTCAGCAAGGACACGACCTGACCTGCGCACTGCAATGAGAAAGAAAAAAAAAGATGATTAGAAAGCACTGCACGAACCTCATACTAAATGTACCACGAGATGGCAAGTCAAGCTGGTTGATTAGTGTCTACCGCAGGAAGACCTTGAAATGAGAAGGTGTAAAAATGAACGGTTAAGCTTCAAGCTATCGTCTTTCAGTGGACTTTCCTCTATTTTTTGGGTGCTTCTGTCGTGTCTGGTCATTTTGGTTCAACGTGCACCATATAGCGGTAACAGTTTTCAAAACCCAGGATTAGCAAGAAAAGTCGTATTTTCTTGAATTCACATAAAAACAATGCCAATAACGAGGGACAAGAAAAGAAGGAGACAGACAGCGGCACTGACTTACAAGATTTATTTGCTAGAACCGCGCAATATATACCTGAGCAGTATCTGACAAAAATAAAAAAGACAAATCAAAGAAAACAGAATTAACCTAACAGCCGAGTAATCATCGTAATTTGTCTTTAATTCTTTGATTTGTCTTTTCTCTTTCTGTCAGATACTGCTCAAGTATATATTACACGGTTCCAGCAAATAAATCTTGTTGTTAGTCAGTTCCGCGGTCTGTCTTCTTCTTTTCTTGTCCCTCGTTATTGGCGCTGTTTTTTATGTGAATTATGTCATACAAACTCGCCCAAGCAACCACGTTAGCTATTTTCTTGAAGCACTGTCACTCTGCCAAGGGGTGCATTGAGAATAAGAATGGAGTGGCTCATTCACTTATTTGAAGTGAAGAACAGCCCTAGCTTTCGCAAGCAGACCCACTTGTTATTGCGAGAGTACAAGGCACAGCACCAGGGCCTTTTCGTTTAGTTGCATGCTGCAGGGAGCCATTCTCCTGCTCCAACACACTAGTGATGCACTTGCTGTATATTTCCGCACCTTGTACCTAGTATAGTAACCCCATGCCTACCGTACTGTTCCAGGTCTGGGTGCCTCTGCAGTCTGAGAATTTTGCCGGAAACAAACTAGAGATGTGCGAACAGTAAATGTTAGGTAAAAAGCAATTCAAAGCAAATAGTGATTCGGTCAAATAATTTCGAATTCGAATATTTCAAATAGTATATGACACATATCACAAAGCACAATGAGCACATTTATCATGACCTGACCAACCTGCACAATATTTTTTAAAGGCTGGAAAAAGGTATGAGCAAATTTCACTGCCTCGGTTTGTAGTGAAGCGAAGCAACTTTAAATAGCAACGCAGAAGACAGTTCGTTCGATGCTCATCAATTCGGGAAATTGGATGATTTAGACGGGCTCTCCGGTGTGCATCTGTCACACCGAAACTGAAACCGAAACCAGTTAATCGAGAACTACACAGTAATGCAAAGCAGTTAGCTCTGCCCTTTCTAGCTTTCACTCTACTGTTAGAGACATTTGTCTGCGAGCATGAATGTTCGTTTAATTCGAATAAGTCAATCCCAGATATATCGAACTCGAAGGGGATTGCGGAATAGTTTGATATATTGATAATTGGAAATATAAAATATGCGTATTTAAGGCCTATATCAAAGCATTTCATACCTCGACAATCATTACAAGCACTAACATAACGATTCGCTCACAGTATAATGAAGAACAAGGTCTGAGCTGCAAGCTACCACACTTTTTTTTCGCATGAAAATTGTCCGTGAACTTGTCTTACTTCTTGCGTGCTGTCAAGTTCTAGTAATCATTAATATCACTGAAGCTTTTCAAATAAGCGAACCCAGCCCATTCGTCTACAAGAGCATTGATTAATGCAGAACGCCAATGCAAGCTTTGAAGAGCGGCAAAAGGTTGGTCAGTAGCGGGGCGACAGCAAAGGCACTGACATATTCATAACCGCACATGTGCACTTCCGCGGCACTGACAACGGCAGCAATGCTCTCAGCATCGATGCAGTCAGAGGCAGCTACGTCGTTATCTACACCGATGAAGTTGCTCACTGTCCGAGATGGTGCCCGGATACGCTAAGTTGCAGAATTCACAGATGCACGGTACGCCATTGTCAGCGGTCACGATGCCTTCTAAGTCGTCCCCTGGCCCGCAGGGAAGTTTACGATGGTGCTTTACTAGACGTCACTACAAACACCAGTCATAAATTTCATTGCTATGTGCGGGTCAACATTCTCTTGAACTCCTGACAAAAGATTGATCAGGGATGAGGCGAGAGGTACACAAATCCACAAGGCACGAAAGACAAAGCCAAGTTCCCACCGTCGTCATGTAGGCGATATCGATGTCACTTGTGGCTTTGTAGGTGGCAGCCATAGAATTAATATAACAGACTCTATACAGTAGTACATAACTCAATGGTGGCAGCCACTGCTTTCAGCTGCTTTGATGCAAAAAACTGGAAAAAGCGTAGCCTCCGAGACATGCGCTTTAAAGCCGAAAACACTAAAAATACGTCACAAGATTGCACATCTGGAAGGCCATGCTTTTCAGGCTCGCATTCCATTTTGTGCCCAAAACAAACAAGAAAGGGAATGCGAACACTTCAACGACACCACCGAGTCACTTCGCATTCTCATTTTGGTGTCCTCGACAATCGGTCTTTTTGAAAAACACTATGCCTGCGCATTAGGACCTGCAGATCGCGCACCAAACATACTGGTGCACTCACAAAAGCTGCACAACGAACCAGATCAGCCCGATGCAATAACACCACCTTTTCTTCACTTGTGTGCGAAAAGGGATCGGAACTTATTAATACACGGCTGAAAATTGATCGATATTTGCTAGGAAGAATGCACTTTTGCGCTTTGGTGCGGCACAGCGTTCAATATAGCGAATGTACCGCTGAATGTCCCGCTGTGTGGGAGTTCCATATACGGGTACACTGGTCCCATGCTATTGCATGGGAAATTGAAGTTGATTTTACAACTGTTTGATATAGCCAATAATTCTATGTATGTGAGTTTGATATATCTGGGATTGACTGTATCACAAAATTTTGAAGAACTTCAATTCATATCGAAGAACATTCAGATACTGCAATATTCGTTCAAATACTCGAAGCACTTGAATATTCACACAAGCCTAATATAAACCTGTTTTCTAATGTGAGAACAATAGAGCGTTTCTGGCCAAGCAGCACACAGTGTCTTTGCATGCTGAGTGCACGCGCTCAGCTGCGTCTTGCACAGGACAGGCCACGTAATCTTGCCACACCGAGACGCATTACTAAGCCAGAACTGGACAGGTTTGGCCTTTTTAAACAAGGTGTGGGCCCTCATAACATTTTAGACACTACTACAAGACACTGAAATTTGGCCAGTTAGTGTGCATTTTACTTTAAAATGAGGAAGTGGCAACTTGTAAAAAAATACCAAAAAGCAAGTCACCAACTGACCATAGATTGGCCTCGACTAATCGATTCACTCAGACTTGAGCAATAAGTCTGAGTCTACCATATATCGGCCTTGACCAATCTACTCAGTTGGACTCGCTCAGACTCAAACTGAACAGTAAGTCTGAGTGAGTTCGGGTGAGTAACAGTGGGGTGAGTTTGAGTGAGTCCAGTGGAAGAAAGTTTTTGAGAGTGTGAGCCTGAGCGACTCTGACTCAGCAAAATTTTGGTGAGTCCAGGTCCGAGTGAGTCCAAAACACAAAATGTACTTTTTAAGTGAGTTCCGACTTCTTTTGCCGACCTGTGCAACCGACTGATCCATGTTCAACGAAAGCGTCTATTAAAAACTCACTTGCCTTTCACGGGCGTTGGGGGCTCGCTGAAGCAGGCGGGCTCTTCCTCGTCGTAGGCCTCGTGGAAGATTGGGCAGGTGAGGAGGCGGTACTCCATCAGGACGTCCCAGTAGGCGTGCTGCACCGTACTCTGCAGGCGCTGCACCAGGTGCTCCTGGTAGTCCTTGCCCACGCACCACACTTGGAAGCGAATCATCGCCATTGGCCCTGCACACAGACAAGGCATGTTGCGTAACAGGCACCGTACAAGTACCAGCCCTAATTTACCACACCAAAGAAAAATCCCCTTAGAAAAATAAGGGCTTCCGTTATATCGTGTACCAACGTCTCCTCTATATTTTCTCAATGCCAGGACAAACGCTTGTGCCTCGGCCGGAACTATTGGTCGGCCTAGGTTCAGGAAGTCATCGTGGTTCAACGCCACCTGAAGGGTACGACTGCTTGCGTCACACGAGCCTGAGTGCGTGACACTGCTGTTCTCGCAGAGGCGCTGTAGATGCATAGTCTCTCTTCTGTGTCACACGTATGTCAGATTTCTTCCCTCGTACTCCTTCTTTTGCGGCTTGTAGCAACCCCGCCGCTTATGCTCACTGTTTATGTGGCACTCTTTAAAGCCAGTGCATACAGCAGCATCGCAGCGAAGCGTTCCCATTAGTAGCACACATAGTACCACGAATAAAGATGCACCCTCTAAAAACACCACGTCTCTTAGGAAGCCAGAGTGGTAGCCGATACAGCAATCATGAGGGATGACAGACACCACCCCACGAATAGGAAGACAACTGATTATGTCGTGAGGCCCCACCTGAAGGGTACTCTCCCCCTTGAATGCAAAGCAGCTGCGAAGGCTACCCGACGGGGGACAGCAGGCAACGGCAGCACGGGAGAGGGTGGTGAACAGCCAGAATGAGCGCATCTGACTGGCACTGAAACAGTAGAGGAGGTGCTGCCTGTAGAGTCATGTCATCGTCGTCAGCTATCTTGTGCTCTCTGCAGGACGAAGACCTCCCCCGCTGTTCTACAACTTACCCTATTCTGCGTGAGCTCGTTTCTTTTATGTCTGAAGATGTTCTTTTATTTCTTCGCTCTGCCTAGCCCTTTGCCATCTTCAGCTGCACTTCCCTCCATTTATTATCCGCTCCAATGCTCAAATTGGGCACTGTGTTGTGTCGTGCGACCTCTGGTGTCAGGTGAACACACCAGCAAGTTGTGCTACCCTTTGTGAGGGCAGGTTCGACTGATTAGGGCAACTTAAACACTCGTTGGCGAGACTGACGAAGATATTCGCACTGTGGTGCCATCATCACCATCATCATTTCTTGATCACCGCGCCGCGCCTCTCGTGCAGCGAAGGCTAGCTTGAGCGGCGCGAGGATTAGAACAGGCTAGCGCACTTGGTGTGTCGGACGTGGACAGCCACCGCGGCTCCGCTTCAGGTGTGGAATAAAGTGGCGAGAAAACGACACGACTACGTTGGCCGCCGTCCCGTCTTCCTCTCTCGCTACATTGGTGACCCGGAGAACACGCCCTTCGCCGAGCGGCCCGCTGCCATGTTCCCGCAACTCTGCCCGCCAGTGTTGCCGTTCCAATCGACCTACCCCAAGGTATGGTTCATGCAGCTCGATGCCGTTCTTGCGCTGAATGGCGTCACGGACCAGCCGCTGATGCATGCCATTCTTCATGATGCCCTTCCGGTAGAGTTGCGTCATCTCTCTGCCACTTCAACCTCCAGCCAGCAGCCTGACGATGACCTCTGCTCTGCGGTGCTTGCCAGCTATGGCCTCACCTACCACCCGCTGCCATTTACCCGTGACTTTCAGGTTTTCCCTGCGTCGCAGCCTGCTGGACCCTCCGGCCTGCAGCTCTCATCTGACCGCAACCTAACTTCCCCGATAACGTCTCCCTCCACCTTTGGTCCGGCCATTAGCGCAGTGATTCTCGCACCCGGTCACAGATCCGATGAGGTTCTTGAAGTCGTTCCTGCTGCCGACAACCTGTCCACCACGAAGTGCGTTTTTTCGAAGTCCTCGGCCGAAGGCCCTTCTGGCACGCTTGCTACCTGCACGTTTTCCACGAAAGCGACGGCACGCGACACCGTGGCCCCACCAGACTCCATGACGACCACCTTGCCGCCCACCTCGGAGTCTGGCACAGGTGACCTTTCATTCGTTATTGATTTCCCGACCTCGAAGCTTTCGCCTTCAACAACGTCCGATAAACGAGACTTAACCTCTCGTCTGGCCACTAGCGACGCGTGTCATGCGCCCGACTGCCCATACGCCAAGGTTCTCGACATTTGGGTTGAAAGCAACCGGTCAGCACAAGCCTGGCAGCCTCAATTCGACCCGCCACTGCCCCCGTTCCGGACCTCTCGCCTAGAGTCGTGGTTCGAGGAGTTTGCGGCGGCCTTGTATCACAACGGCATCTGGATCCAAGAGCTCATGTACGAGGTATTGGAATACCATCTTCCACATGACCTCAAACACCACCTCACATACTTCTCCTGGAGCCCTCGCCCGTACGATCATTTGCGAGATGCCGTGCTCAAGTTTTACGGCCTTAAACATGCTCCTCCTCCCGAAAATGACACAACTGCACCTAGCTCATCACCTTCCAGGGCGCCTCTCGCCCCAGAGCCAGTCCAGACCATTCCCCTGCCGGCAATTGACCACATAGATTCGACACCGGCCGCTGCCCGTGCACCGTCGCATTCGCTGCAGAGACTTGGTCAGCTGAACTGTCTGTCCCGGGCGATTCGACGACCTCAGCTGGGCCAGCTGACCTTCCTGCAGACTCCCCGCCTGTCCCGGCACCTGTGGAGGCCCGCGACACCACTCACACTATGGACCCAGAGCCCGCTGTGACACTCCACGCCATCAGTTTCCCCTGCACACCGGTGCCTGCTGCTCAAAACTTCGTGGACTGCCAGCACCTACTAACATCATCCTCGATGTATCCTACAGAAGTTCAAGCCTCTGAGCATGCACGGCTGAACGTGCATGATGCTGTGACGATGTCAGGAAATCCCGAGGGCCGCACGCCTGGCTCACCACAGGTGGAGCACACTGTGCATGCCCCAACAGATGCGCAGTTAAACCATCCGCCTACCACTACGTACGCGTGCTTGAGCATTTCAACGCCGTCGACGGCCCATGACAACTGTGACGCCACATACCCGCCGCTCGATCCCGCATCACCAAACGTCGGTTCTAGCTCGAGCAACGCGACAGCTCATCGGCGTACGCCTACGCGTCACACGTCGTCAAAGGTCGGAAAAAGCAATCTATCAGTGCCCTCTGAGCCGGCTCGTTATCACTGTAAACCATGTCGCACTTCATCGGTCCAAAGCGCACCGTCTCCAACTTATCTGCACCCTACTCGGCCGACCAGGTGGCCGCCGCAGCCGGTAATGTGCCACCGGAAGCGACGGTACCAGCACGGTAAACACACTACCAGGGTTGACCGCACTCCCTGTCGTCGTTCCCACCAGCTCCAACATGGAAGTAACACTAGACCCTCTGGACTGGCCGTACTACGCTCATGCTACAGTCCATCTTTTAAGCATCAGTGTCCGAGTGCGCGCGACAATCGACCGCACCAAAACGGCCCGTGTGTGTTCTCGGCCCTTGACCATTTTTCGCCTTGTCGTTGGTACTCGCTATCGACAAAAGTGTCCCTTCATGACGACCCTCACCCGCTCCTTCCAACAGCGTGCCTGCGTAGCCACCCTCGTCCGCTGCGCCATTCCCAGTGTCGCCCACCAGGACCCGCTGCTTACCGATGGCCCATCAACGTTGACAACCTGGACTTTCCAAATGAACACTTTATGGATTGTCGTTCATGTATATAGCTTTTGTCACTATCTCTTTTTTTTTTTATATGCCTTCAAATCGCGCAAAGCGCTAGGGGGGGAGCCCTGTGGTGCCATCATCACCATCATCATTTCTTGATCACCGCGCCGCGCCTCTCGTGCAGCGGAGGCTAGCTCGAGCGGCGCGAGGAATAGAACAGGCTAGCGCACTTGGTGTGTCGGACGTGGACAACCACCGCGGCTCCGCTTCAGGCGTGGAATAAAGTGGCGAGAGAACGACACGACTACGTTGGCCGCCGTCCCGTCTTCCTCTCTCGCTACAGCACGAAGGTGAAAACATGTTTATAATGCAAGGGATGACATTGAGGTTAGTGATGAAGGAGCGTTACAAAAAGGGGTTACAATAACAAACACCGCTCTCAAGTAACATAACGTCATTCCCCACTACACTAAACAAGTTTGGCAAGGTTTCACCATGGACTGGTTGAAGACTGATCGGCTGATGAGTTGCTGCGTGGAGTTTGACACCGACAGCAGAAACAGGCCATGTGTGGTTGGAACCCAGCAGAATCAACGTGAATAAAACTCGCCTCGGGACTAATGATAGGCTTGAGTTTTGAATGCGCCTGTTTCCCAGCACACGGGACCGGCGCCGGCTAATGGAACACCAGTTGGGGTGAACGACTCACGGGCAGACAGCAGGCAATGGTCAGCTTCGGGGTCAGAACCCGACGAGCGCCTCGGCCAGCGACTGCTTCTCCGTCACGTTCTCCAACCCACCTCTTCTTTCTCCACTTCCCTTCCTTCATGTTCGGCTTGGCTTCCCGATCACGGTATTGTCTTCTAGCCTGTCTTGTCGTTTTCATCGACGCACCACACAGAAAAAAACCCCAATCACTGCGCACCACCGGAACGTACCACGCACAACATGACACCCGTCAATGCCGCAGGATGAAGCCACATCTATAACGATGTCTGTTTTTTGAATTCTGTAGCCAACCTGGCGTGGCCTTGCACATCATGTGACCTGTCTCACACCGGCCAATCAACCCTCGCTCCTCTCCTTAGAACGCGATGCAATAAACCTTGGGAGAACACCCTCCAGCCTCACCCGAACACTGCGTCTTGTGTCATCTTTCTGGGCGCCCTCCATTCGCTAAACCTTTCTGTCAACAACCGCGGGCTATGCCGCGCTCCAGGCAATAACATTGATTATCTGTCCCACTCATGACTTGATTCACCCAAATCTATTTTCGATATCAGATACTCACATTTGTTCTCTGATTCACTCTGTCCTTTTTTACATTAGAGTTATGCCTATCATTTATGGTACCAACACTCGCTGGGTGACTCTTAACTTCTTTTCTGATCTCTCTGCCATTCTCTGTGTTTCTGC